GCCCGGTGAGGTCAGCACAGAGGGAAGGAAGTAATATTTTCCATTTTAGTTCAAACATGACTAAAGTTGTCAGGAATCAGTGCAATAACTACGAATTTTAACTAATTTGCATGGATAAATCTCTTTGCAAATCTTAGGTTTTTCTCCCCATATGTTCCTATTTTAGCTTTCACAAGATTTCAACAGATACAATTACAGAAAAAATGATCTGAAGCACGTTCAGTATATTTTTGTTCATTTATTTAACAAACACTCAATAATACATGCTATGTGTCAGGTACGGTTTGAAGAACTTTATATATAACCATGACACAATGCTGCCTTTCATTCACTTATTCATTCATTCAATAAAAATAAATTGAACGTCTTCTCTGAAACCACGTTGTGCTAGGAATAAAAAGGCAGAAGATACATTTTTTCTCTCTCTCCTGGGTTTAGTGGGAGAAACAGACAAGTAAATCAATAGAACGATGTCTGTAATAAGGGCCTCATGGCATATATCATTTGTCCCAGGAGACAAGGAGGGAGGGCATGAAAGTTGGTCCTGAGCAAGTATGTATAAATTGTGTCATGAAAGGTGAGTGTGGGCCTGCAGAGTGAGGTGAAGGCAGCGGAGCAGGAAGGGCCTGCACATAGCATTGAGGTAACAGTAGCCGGCACCTTCAGGGAGCTGCGAGCCCTATGCTACAGCTCTGAGCAGAGTGCATCTGAGGATGAGGAAAGCTCTCTTTCTACTTGAACTGTCAGAGGCCTTAGACCCAGACGTTTACTTTCTCGCAGCTCTGGAGGCTGGGCATCCAAGATCATTGTGCCAGGGGTTTGGATTTCCTTGGCTTGTAGATGGCTGCCTTCTCACTATATCTTCACATGGCCGTCCCTCTGCATGAACATGTCTGGGGTCTCTTCCTTGTCTTAATCCAGTCTTATTGGGCTAGGGCCTGCCCTGATGGCCTCATTTTAACTTAATATCTCTTTCAAGGCCCTGTCTCTAAATACAGTGACCTTCTATGGTACCAGGAGGTTGTGGCTTCAACATATGAATTTGGGAGTGGATATAGTCAGCCAGAAATCATGAAGAGGAGGCACTGAGGGGCTGAGACTAATATGGCAGCTATTGAAGTAATACAGAGGAAAGTGATAAAAGCCCTGAGTGAATCAATGGCCATGGGGCTAGAAAGGAAGCAAGAGATTCCTGAGGTTTGTAGAATTAAGACTCTGCAGGAGGAGGCAGCTAGTTGGCTAGGGGTGGAGGTACAACGGAGGAGGGAGGAAGTTGGAGGGTGCAGTCTAGGATGACTTCAAAGTTCTTTGCCTCCTAGGAATAAGGAACACAGGAGAAGGAGCACATCTGGAAGTGGGAGGGAGATGATGAGTTAGAGGTGCCAGTGGAAAATCACTGGCGAGTTTAGCAGGGAGTTGGACATATTGGTCTCACTCTGAAGAGAGGTCTGGACTTGAGTTAGAAATTCAGGAATTGTCAGTTTATATAGACTCAGAGCCAAGGATTTTGTAAGTCACTCAAGGAAAGGGAAGGTGGCCGAGGACAGAACCAAAGGACTCAGGAAAAAGAGTGACTGCCAACTGGAAGACCAGAAGAAAATAAGGAGCTGGCATTGACTAAATGAGGGCCTACTATGTGCTAAGTACTATGCTAGCATCTGATTTAACTTTTACAGAAGTTCCTGAATTAAAGCTAGAGCAAATACTTGTCTAGCTCTTTCTATGTACCAGGCTCAGAGTCATCTGCAGCAGCTCATTAAATCCTTACAAAGTTCCCTTGTTTACCCATGAAGAAACTGAGGCACATAGCGGTGACATTCTGCAGATCATAGAGATAGATTTGGAACTGAAACCCAGGTGACAAGGCAACCAAGACTAAGCTCCTCACCTTAGTGCAGCCCCATGGCCATTGATTCACTTAGGGCTTTTATCACTTTCCTCTGTATTACTTCAATAGCTGCCATATTAGCTTCAGCCCCTCAGAAGATTGTTGCTCTTCTGCCTCTGCCTCTACTGTAATAGATTTTATTTTATTTTTTAATTTTAAACCTTGTACTATTTATGGTGGCCAGTTGTCATGGGCCCCAACAGCTCTCTGTAGCCAATAGTCCTGACTGTTAAAGATCATAAAGTTGTATGTTTTCCTTTTCGAAAACCACATTCATTTTTCTCTCAAGGGACCCAGCTGTCTGCAAATCCTTGATGCAACAGCATAACCCACCAACCTACCTGGGGTTCAATACAAGTATCCACAGAGCTGCTCCAACAGGAAGGAGGCAGGTATTCTCTGGAAGGATGGAACTAGCATCAGACACAAATAGGCTTTTGCTGCCACTGTGCTTGACTGGGGACAGCAGCAGGTTGATAGGAAGTTCCTCTGTTCATTATTTAGGTCTGTACCTCTGCAGAGGGCACTTACCACCCAGGACACTCAGGATGGTGCCCCCCACCCCCATCTCCGGTTGCCCCCTCCAGCTCTCCCCTGTACACCCCCCCACCCCCAGTTCAGCTCTAGGGCCCAGGCACTCCATATCCCTCACTGTGCTCAGAGCTATTTTCGCTGACGTTTCTGAATTCTGTAACTGGAAAACATCAACGTTGATTCTTCTGCACCTGTCTGATGCCAAGCCAAAAGAAAATAAAATTTCAGTGGCTTTTCTTTGAAGGACCAAGATATTCTGTCAGGCTTCTTAGAACCCGGGCCAAAGGCTCACTCTATCAAATCAATGGAGACAATGTATTTCATGATTTTTCTGTGGGAATACTGAGCTGTATGGCCCTGATGCCCACTCTCTTTGTAAATGTCTTTATCCAAATTTCATTTTCTGTTGGGCAGTAGGCCACACAGCCCTCATCAGTGTTCATGTTTGTGTGAGGGCACAGCATGAGCCTTCTTTGATGAAAATATTGATGGATTCAGGTGTAATGAACCCAGAGAGATAAATTCTTCGAGTCATAGGGTCCAATTTCCATAACTAAGTTTTTCTGTTCTTTTGATAGCACCCCACATTCAGGGATTGGAAAAGAAACACTGTAGGTGTGATAGAGGTCTCCACGAGGTGCAGGTGGCATGACTTGTAAGGACTCGCACACCTGCAAGTGCTGAGGAACCACTTGTAGCCCGCACAGCAGTGCCCAGGCTTTGCACCATGCAGATGCGCCCCAGCTGTTGGGGGCACCCCTTTTAGCGCTGAGAAATTTAAGGATCAGAAAAGTTAAGAACTGTGCTCAAGATGACATGATGAGTAAGTGGCAGAAGCAGGTTGTCAACTAAAATCTTTGCGCTTTCCATTATCCTAGGCAACTTGTTCTACATAAGCTAAGGGAGGAGAGAATTGCAGGGACAAGCATCATCTAGTGAGATTACAGCAGAAAGTACTTGGTAGATTTGACCCTTTAGAAGCTGCTGGGGATGTGGTCAGGTCCCTTTCGGTGGAGTGGCTGGGGGTAGGGATCGATCCTGTGGCAAAAGGATCCATGTCTGGAGAAGGGATTTGTGATTGGAGCTCATGCATGGTCTGGGAATTAAATGAGATATGACAGAAAGATTCTTCATTCCACTTGACAAAATTTATGCAAGGATTCATGGTGGGAACACACAAAGGCAAATCAAAGACATTCTCAAAATTCTATTCAACTTTTATTTTATTTTTTAGATTTATTTATTTATTTATACAAGAACCGGGGTACAGGCCAGATGTGCGGGAGGGTGAGAGGATTCACCAGAGAAAGAGCCAGGAACAGAACAGGCAGATTGACCAAACACACTGCTGAGGGGAGCAGCGGGCGGGGCAGGAGAGGTCTGCACGCCGTGCGGGACCCTCGCTGGCAGGTCGGGATGGAACCTGCGCGGACAACCTCACAGCCCAGCGCTCAACTGCTGTGCCACGGGACGGGCCCCTATTCAACTTTTAGAAACTAACTTAGAACCCCAAGTAATTGTCCCAGCTCCCCCAAACTGGGCTGGTTTCTCCTCCCATCAACTCAGGTTTCTCCTCAGCAAAGCTTTTCATTAAGGGCATTGAAAGTTCTGCAATTCTTGTCACACCCTCTTTCCCCTTGCAAGTTTGACAAGGGCAGGGATTGTGTTTATTCATTCCAGCCTTCTCAGAATTGAGCTTGACTGACTCCTAGTAGATGCTACAGAAATATTTAATTAAATTGAACAAAACCACCCTCCTTTCACACCTCAGATCTCAAGCGCATTCAGTGTGCCCACAGATGAGCACATAGCTAGTCCTAAAATATTCGTAGACTGAATAAAAGAACACATCCTGGGACTCAGGGACCTCACCACCGATTGAGGGGCAGTAGCAGAGGAAAGACTATTATCCCTCGTACCCCTCTCCTCGGCAGCTGCAGTCCCCAGTGCAGGAGAAGCAAAGCAACGAGACTCATGGGGACTTCACGGAGGCTTTATGGAAAAGTGACAGCATCAGTGGAACTTCTCGTGGAAGGGAATCCAGGGAAAGTCTGAGAGCAGGGGAAATGCTGGGTACGATCTGGAGCGGAAAGGGCAGCCAATTGAGGTGTGCCAGGAGTGGGCAGCTGACTCCAGTTTGGGGAGGGGCACCAGGGTGTAGCTCGCTGTCCGGCACGGCCCGACGGCCCCAGGTGTGGAGAGTGGGGTGCGGGACACGCTCTTGCCTCCACTCTGTCCACAGAGATCTGGAGCCCCAGGGCGGACTATCCCCACCCTCGCGCCCGCAGTGTCCGCCAGGGAGGGGCGGGCCCTGTCTCGGGTGTGAAGTAGCGGACCCGAGGGGGTTGCGTAACCCTTGGCTGCTGGCAGGCGCGACCCGGCTGGAGCAGGCCAAATTCTAAGACGATGATAATTTGGCCTGGAGCGGGGCGCGGCGGACGCACCGAGGGCGAATAAAAGGGCCGGGCTGCGCGGGGGCCGCTTTCTCCGCGCGGTGCCTGCAGCGTCCTCGCGGGCGGGCGGCCGGGCGGGGAGGCGTCTGAGCCGCCGCCGCGCTCCGGAGGACCCGGCACCTGAGGGCGGAGGACGGATCGAGCCTGGGCGTGCGGCTGCTTTCGGGCACCTTCCGGTACCCAGTGGGGTCGGCTGCAAAAGGGCCGACGACAGAGCCATGGCGGGGGCTGAGTGTGTGCCCCCGGCCAGGCCGAGCCTGACCTCCATCTCGTCGGGGGAGCTGCGCAGCCTGTGGACGTGCGACTGCGAGCTGGCCGTGCTGCCCCTGGTGCAGCTGCTGCGCCTGCAGCCCGGAGCCTTCCAACTGCGCGGCGACCAGCTCCTAGTGCACGGCCCCGCCGAGCCCGTAGCCGCGCGCGGGGGCTTCAACGTCTTTGGCGATGGCCTGGTGCGCCTGGACGGGCAGTCCTATCGCCTCAGCAGCTACATCAAGAGGTGGGTGGCCTCGCCATGCTTCCCAGCCAGCTGCCTGTCCTCGTAGAGGCCTCCACCCTGCTGCTGCTCCCGGGAGCCCTGACTGACTTGGCTTTACTCAACCCTGCCTCAGACAACCCCTTCCCTCTCTACTCCCTCCCCTTCCAGCTGTTTCTAGATATTTCTCATGCTAAGGTCACCTGGGGCTGCAAAAGTCTCCCTGACCTCACTTTTTCTGCCTTTTGCATTGACTTTTTTTGCAGCTGCCACTGAAGCCGCCCAGGAGGGCATCAGGGCAGGCTAATGGGGGAGGTAGGGTGGATAGCACATAACTGCCTGATGAGTTTCCCTTTCTGGCTCAACTGGTCAGATGAGCTCAAATTGGGGGCACACCCTACAGGGGATGTTTACAGAGAAGAGACTTACACCCTGGCTTTAGGTTTTGGAGAGAGGTAGTAGGAGAGGGTGCTCAATTCTGTGCACGGCTCCTTTTATTAGTGAGGAGCCCCAGTGAGCAAAACGTGCAAAAGTTCAAAGTTTCCTATCTTTGGCCTCCCTTTGTGTTTGTTTGTTTGTTTGTTTGTTTGTTTTAAAGAAATAGATAAACTGTGGCTCTGAAGGGAACAAAGCCAATTAAGTCCAGCCCAGAGTCTACTCAATGGGCTATCTTGCAGGCAGATTTAGGTTCTAGGGAAAATAAGCAGTTTCCTAGATCGTGGCTGGCACAACCACATTTGATGGTGGAACCCCAGTTTAGCCATTGTGGCTCAAGTGCCTGAAGATATGGAGCAGACTCCATATCTGTGGGGAATGTTGTCTATCTGAAGCTGGCTTTGATCACCCCTGTGTAAAGGAAGAGGGCACTTCACAATTGACTACGTGCCTGGTGCCTCCAGAGGTCACTCTGGGCACATATGAGTCTTATATTTGTGCTGCACAGCTGAGTTCCCAGAAGTCAGCAAGTACAGTCCAGAGTCTGATTCAGAGATGAGTAAGCCTACCGACTCTTAAGGTATGAAGAGTGCTACTAGAAAAGAGCAGCACTGTGGCACCCAAGAGGGGCAGACAAACAAAATGAGATGCTTAAAAGCCTTTTCCAAGGTGTCAGTAAAAAAAACCTCTCCCTCCACCCCCAAGCAAAGAGAGTGAGAGCTTTGAATATCTGAAAAACATTCCCCAGCAAGAATTTCTCCCTTTCTTACTGAATTGAAAATTCCAACCCCTTAGCAGGGGACTCTAGGAGGAACTGAGTTAGAAATCATATTTGCAAAGATTTAAAAAGAAGATAACCACTGCATTTGAGAACAGAGAATAAAAAATAAAAAGGTCCAGAATTAATGGAAGCTACAGGTTGGAGCCAGTTCCCCCAATCTCAGCAAACAGTGCTACAAATTTAAAATGATTTATTATTTTTTTTTTAAAGATTTATTTTATTTATTTATACAAGCACTGGGTACAGTCAGAAGCACGGGAGGGTGAGAGAATTCACCAGAGCCAGAGCGGGGAGCAGAGCAGGCAGAAGGACCGAAGTACACTGCTGAGGGGAGCAGCGGGCGGCAGAAGAGGTCTGCGCGCCATGTGGGACCCTCCTCCGGTGGCCGGGGAGCAGCCGGGGATCGAACCGGCACTGCAGAGGCAGCGGGCAGCTTCGCAACCCAGCGTTCAACCGCTGCGCGAATGATTTAGAAGTCTGGTTGTTAAACTCTTGCTTTGAACACCTCCTACACAAAAGGATTTTTAACGGTGCTGGTCCTCTGGCAGTTTAGAGTCCAGAAGAAACAATGACAGGCCAGGGCACAAATAGGAATTAACAAATAAAAGGTTCTTGGTGTCTAAGCAATTGTGTGAGGGCTTTTTACCCTGGGAAAAGGCAGGGAGCATCTAAGAATAATTTGAGTGATGGAAGGAATGTTCTAACTTCCTCTTAGAGGATGTACTATGGCAGGGGAAGTGGACTTTTATAACTGGTTTTATAACTGAGGATGACTGGCAGGGGTCTGGTCTGAATGGACAAAGTCTTCTAGAAAGAACCAGAACACTGGGTAGTAGGCAGCAGTCACAGATTTTGCCCTCATGGATCAGGAGTTGGGTGGCCAGTCAGGATTCTGACATCTGAAGTTGCTGCACCTCAGATATGCCAAATTTGCTCAGTTGTTCTTGGCTTTGGGGATAGCATTCAACTTCCCCTCTTAAAATATTGCTCTAAAGCAGACATTCATTCTCTATCTCTCTCTAACCCTCAATCCCTCCCTCTTCCTTCTTTCCTTCTTTCTTTCTTAAATAAGCTCTGGCCGGTTATACTAAGGAAAAACCTAGAATGATTTACTTTTTACCAGTCTGTTCTGGCACACTTCTAAAGATGACAGACTCATTGGATCAATGACAGCTAGTGTGCATACTCTGCAGTATTTTCTCCTCCCAATGCTCAATTCAGTATTATTGCCTCTGTAGTGTTGGACACCAGTTTCAGTCACTACGGCCTACTTCAGATTTCCTCCAGGCTATGCGGCCATTGGTAAAGATGAGTTTGGCTTTGCCTTGCTATCATCTTAGAGTCGGCCTGTTCCCCAGCACACACTTCCCACTTTTCATAAGGAGATGGAACTTAAAATTGATGGACCCTGGGCACGTTTTCCTCTTCTGTGCTACCACCATATTCCTGCCTTATGTGTGGGACAGCCCCCAACCAAGAGCAGCTGCTCAGATGGCAGGGGGAGGTGAGAAGGGCAAAAGGATGATTCTTAATCTCTTTGGGCCATAGAGCTCCTGAGATTCAGATATAGATTTTTTTCCCCCCAGAAATGTAGATGAATACCCAGTGTCACCTGTCACTTAAGGAGTTTAGAAGATGCTTGGATCCAGTTAGAATCCTGGTTCTATTCACTAGTTGCTTGTTTGTTGTTGTTTGTTGTTGTTTTTTTTTTTTTTTTCCCCCGGTTTGTGTTTCATTCAAAAAATATTTTTGGCATGAGATTAAGCCCACAACAAAAGCAGGATTTCTCTTCTCAGTCTCAGAAGTGATGCTGTGATTTTCTTAAGGGCCTTTCTCAAAGTAGCTCCAAAAGGCTAGGAGCTACTAACCTTTGCTGCTATAAGTCACTTGCTCAGAGAACCAGAGGACGAGTTGGTGGCTCCAATTACTCCAGTTTGTTTTCTAATACTTGAATATTTTTCTAAATACATACTTTGTAGATAAACCTAAGGAAATCTTGGGTGGTGGGTAGGTAGTGATGGTCACAAAGGTCTTTAAAGCACCTTCAAGAAATTGCTTTAAAAATTCCCCTATTTGGGGGAATTTTTGGCAAGATTCTTATTGTTATCTTCTTTCTTCCAAGCTTTGAATTTCCATCCACATTATAGACAAAAACCTATTCAACATACCAGGTGTAAATCACTACTAACTCTCTCTCCCTCTCGATTTCTTTCTTACACATACATATTTTTCCCCTATAATTTACTCTATCGGTGAGATGAACTGATGAATGCTTGTCAAAGGGGAAGTCTGATTCCTCATTTCAATGGTCTCCTAGTAAGAAAGAAGCTGCTCAAGTAGTAAAAGAAGTACAGCAATAATAATGGTGGTTACTGATGTTTCCTTGAATACTAGGAATGGAGCAAAATACTTCACAGTTACTAGCTCAAGAGATCTTACAAAAGCATCACTATTTCTCTTTTTCCCAGATGAAAACATCAGGACCCAGAGCGATTAAGTCATTCCCCTGAGTAAGATGCGGGTGAGCAGTAGTGTCAGGGCTTTTAGGTAGCACAGTCCAGGTACAAGGCCTGTGCGTTCAGCAAACTGCCTAAAATCTGGATATAATTCTGGGTTGCTATAGATCACAGCAGGTTTCTCAGAAATTTCTCAATCTGCAAACAAAAAACTGGAATTTTATATACTTCCTGAATAATTGGTCTAAAAAGTAAGTCCAGCGATTTTTTTTTTAAAGATTTTTTATTTATACAAGAGCTAGGGTACAGGCCAGAGTCGTGGGAGGGTGAGAGGATTCACTAGAGACAGAGCAGGGAGCAGAACAGGCAGACAGATCGAAGGCATTGCTGAGGGGAGCAGCGGGTGAGACAAGAGAGGTCTGCCGTGCCATGTGGGATTCTCCCTGGCCTGCCAGGAATCGAACTGGTGCTGCGGAGGCTGCAGACAGCTTCACAACGCTGCGCTGAACCCACTGCGCCACCAGGGAGGCTCAGGTCCAGCGATTTTAAGGGAGCTGCTAAATGTGAAGATGTGACCTGCTCCTGCCCAGGTCTGACCAGCTGTTCGGTGATGACAGTCACACTCTCCCAGGGTAGGCAGCAGGCATGGAGGGTGGTGAGAGGAATGAAATGGGGAAAGTGAGAGTTACTTCAGCACTGGAACACACTCAGATTTTTACCCAGAGGGGTGGGGAAGTGGGAGGTGAGGGGACATGCTCAGGCTCTGTGTGCCCTCCCCCAACACCCAGGGCCACCTCTCAGGCCACCCTGACTTGAGGGGAAGATGTGGGAACACTCCCATGCCATGTGCAATGCTGTCATCCTGTCCTGTCCTCCTATCTGGTCCTTTGTCTTAATCCCTCTGTCTGAGTCTTGGATTGGGTGACTTGTCTAGAACAGCAGCCCCTTAAAAAGATGCATAATGATACTGAAGAAGTTATTATATATGTGTTGGGCCATGATTTTTATGAAATTTAATCTAGAGGAAATGTGGGGCAGCATGAGGACTAGGACTGAACTGCCTTGGTTTGGATCCTAGCTCTGCTGCTTGAAGTTGAGTGACTTGGGAAAGTTATATCATCTCTGTGACTCAGTCTCCTCATTATAAAATGGAAATAGTAATAACCTTATAGGGTTGTTGTTCAGAGTTTAAATTTTTAAAACCCATAAGACAGTTATTGGCACATTTGATCACTTGACAAGTTGTAGTTTTATGAAACAGCCCCATAAACCAAGTACACCCACATGTTGTGGGTGTTAAAAAAATCTGTTACCAGATTTTCTCAGTGAGGAAACGAGTCTCAGCAAAGTTTGAAAATTGGCTGAGGTCAGAGACAGAACTTGAACCCTGACCTGATGATTCAAAAACCACAAGCCATTGATATCTACCTTCTGGACTTCCATCCACTCCCTGGTCTACCTCTTACTCTCAGCTCACCTGTACTGTGTGCCCACGTCCCCCAAGTTTCAGCTAAACTGTAACTTCTCCTGGGGTGCTCATCTCCCCACATTTTGCTGCATAGTGTATTTCATTGGAAAGAAAATCCCTCTTTTAACACCTCAGATGAATTAGTGGTTCTAACCCCAGGTCCCTCCCACTTTGCTCCTTCTTACTTAAATAACTAGGACAAACTCCCACTGGAACTTGGACAAATGAATGACAAGAACTATGCTTTCCCTTGGCATTTATGATTTGAATGATTAATTTATTTGTAAACCTCTGAATGAGAGGGACCATGTCTTAGGCATCTCAGACTTAAAATAAGCTTGAAAGTCTCCTGAGGATCTTGTTAATAGGCAGATTTTAGAAGACTGAAGCTGGGACGGGACCTGAACTTCTGCAGTTTGATAAGCTCCTGGGTGGCGCCCAGGTGTCTCAGGATCACTTTTTTAAGCAAACTATCATCTATCATTTTCATATCAAAGAGATGCATTTTCTTTGTCTTCCAAAAAGACTGTATGCTTCTTGAAAGCAAGTCTATTTACTAAGCAGCTTCCTGGCAAATGTTTATTCAGTGAATGAGTGAATGAGTCATTCTCTGTCCCATCATGGTGTTTTACTCACATTGGGCATCCACAGTTGATGAATGAATGAATATATGTGTTCTTGAACGGCGTCACAAACATTAGAGTAATACATCTGAAAAGTTTGCTTACTGTCACTAGAGTTGGGGCAGAAGAAGGAAAGGTAGAGAAAGAAGGAGCTGTTTAAGAAGTTAGGGTAAGGCTCTGCTTGAAGCTATCAAGTTAGCTCTGGAAACAGGGCAGGACTTCCTGCTGGCTCTCTGGGGCAGAATACCCCTGCTCGCATTTGCTTAGTGTCACAGCAAAGGGTGATGAAAGCGAGAAGCAACCTCTGGATCTTCTACACAACTATTTCAACATGTGTTTCTCTTTTTCACTGCCCTATATTCCAAATTTAAAAAAAAAAAATGAGTGCATGCACACACAGCCTCAGGTAGAGCCATTGGCTTGAATTCTTATTTGTCTTTGAGCAGCAAATTGTCAGAACCAAGGAAAATTGGGAACAGCTTTTCAGGTCATGCTAGAGGTGATATGAAACCTGAATGAACATCTGGACAAAGGTAACATCTTCAAGGGTGGGGGATATTTTAGCCACTCCTAGTTTTCTAGAAGCAAAATCAGTGCCTTCACCAACTTGTTCCCTATAGCCTTCAAGCTGAAAAGATTAAGAAAGCAACTGGAGCAAGGAAGGGCCACTCTTGCTCTGTTATTTTTTAGATATTCATTTTGTCCTCATAATCTGGTAATTCAATGGATACACACCTGGTGTGTGTCTCGAGCTTACAGAACAGCAGCCTGTGGCCAACAGACTTGGCCAGGATTAAAGATACTAACAATATTTTTCAGGCATTTACTATGGGCCCAAGTGCTTATGTCTACATTACATGCACTGCATCAGGTCATCAAACAGAATACTGTTATATACTGTAATACTGTTATATTCCTTTTACAGATGAGGGGACAGGTTCAGGCAAGTTAAGTAACTCACTCAAGGTCACAGTAAGTTGCTGCTCTGGAACTGAATTCACATAACCAGTCAATTAGGACATGAATTGGATCTTCTCATTTCAAATCACTATGCTTTCCACCACGTTGTTCTGCCTTTCAATCTTTGCATTGAATCAGACATAGAAAATCTCAGTCTACAAACATTTGGGGGCTGGGGTAAAAGTAATGAAGAAATGAAAGTTTGAAAGACTATCTTTTAACTGTTTGCTTTTCATCCCTAATGATAACTTCAGCAAATGTAATAAATATCCAACACACAGAAGCAATATTTGCCTTAGTAATTCAGAAATACACTTGATTAAAGATAAGATAACAAGTCCCTGATGTAGCCTAGTAAGGCTCCACTTAAAACCAATGATTGACTGTCAGATACTGAAATACCTGCAAGACTTAATAAGTAGGACTTCAATCCTTTTGCACTTTAGTGACTTACATATCCAAATTTTCTAACAGTGAATTTCAAAAGAATGCTCATTATTTCTTTCACTGAAATTGTGAGTTATATTCACTGGAAAAAATTGAATCATAATTGGGAGGCTAGGAATGGAAGAGTTAGAAGGTATTTCTTATTTGTAACCTGGTTTAAATAGTGAGTTTAATTAATTAGGGATCTTGCCAACATCTCTTATCTTAAATTCTGTATCAGAGTCTCATACAGCTGCGTTTTCACACGTCTATGGTACAGTGCTAACTGATGTGTGCTGTGATGATCTTTACAGCCCCACTAAGATCCTAAAAGTGCCTCTAAGTCATCAAAAGAAAACTAAATTAGTTTCCACATGGTTTTATTATTCAGGGCATCTTATTAAATTCAGGCTCCAAAATGGTTGATACATGTATAAGCTATACATTAAACTCAATGTAGGACTATCCAGAAGCACCACTTCCCCAGTCCCATTCTCTGATTATACCAAGTAACAGTTCTTTGAACCCCACAGCGTTCAAACAAACCTTCCATGGAATTCTGAGGGAAAACCAATCATCCTCCCAACCAGTGATCAATTATAGTTGTTTTTTTTTTTTTTAATCTTTTCTCTGTGAGCTGCTGATTCATTGAAACAAAATCATTGTTTCCTCCAATAGGATTGTCAATTGATTTTGTAGGCAGAGGGAAGTACTGCACTATCATTTGTGCCATCGGAAAAGTAATAAAAGCTTTGAATTTTCTAAATGATCTGTACAAATGCCTTGTGTGTGCCCTGGACAATGACAGTCAAGCCATGGGTATTATGAGAACAGAAATAGCGTCCTGAGGAAAATACGAAGTATTTTAAGTGACTATAAATTAACTACATGATGAACATGGTGGGAGAACATGAAAATCCACCTTGGATGGGTCAAAGGTGGTACCCGATTCCCACCTCAGTGTCACACATTACTTTTTCATGTTTACTACAGTCAGACTCAATTTTCTTCTGCTGCTGCTGCAGGAGTTTTCTTCCCCTTTTCTCCCTCTGCATCTCCTCAACTCCCAGCCCTCTATCCTACAACCATAAACCTCACCAGTCTCTCTCCATCTTCTTCCTGAGCAGCTCTGGCCTGCCCCAGCAGGGTCCTTGGTATAGCAGGAGATTCGAGGGCACAGGGATACCCCTGTCCTGCCACCCTCTGCCCCGCCCCCACTTCCTAGGCCTGAGCTCCTTGGAGGTAATAAGGCACATGTGAAGGCCTACCTGGTGCATAACTGGTGCGTGATTAGTGTTGCTGAGGGAAGGAAGGAAGGAAGGAAGGTCACATGAACTAGCACATGGTGATTCCCTTTCTCTTTCCTTCTTTGCTTCCTTTCTTCAGTACCTTTAAGCAGTTGGTCAATTGGGGAAAAAAAATAACAAGTAGTTTCTCCCTGCTGATGCGGAACACAAATGCTTCTCCACTGCCTGTGCCCCCACCTCACCCCGTTCTCTCTCCACACTGTGCTGACAGGTGAGGGGAGGGTGGAAAGGGACAAAAATTCCATCTATAGTATCTGACCTAGTCCATTCTCCGGATACTCTGCAGGGTCCTTGCCCTTCTTCATCCCCACCCTCCTCTCCTCTACTGCAGCATTCTTCACCTGCACCCCTGAACATCAACCACAGCAACCCCCTATTCTTTCTTGGAATGCGACAGCCCATTGTCTTCCCCCTCCCCCATCCCAGGACCAGCCCCCTAACTACCACAGTACCCAGGGGTTGAGAGATCACATAAAATGTCTGGTGAGACAGAAGGCAGGAAGAATTTTAGAGGCCTCTTCAGGGGTCAGGTTTTAAAAGCTTTCCAAATCAGGTCTAGCAAGCCCAGAAAATAGATAATAACACAGATTTTAAGAAACCAAGCTGGGGAACAGACACGCTAAAGTTGTGTTTTTCTGACTTGGGGATAGATATTTTCCTGTGTACTCTTGACTCATGCTTGGGTCACTGTGCTATGTGCTGGCCCCTCTAAATGGATTATGGAAAGTAGGTTGGAGGGGGCAAAGGGGCTGAGAGAACTGTGTGACCACTGTTCCCTGCAGCATGCTCGCCAAGGCTGTGATTTTCATGTCAGGCGTTGGAAAGACAAGTCAGAAAAAAATGCTGGAGCTGTCTCTTCTCACTGTTAGATGTAAGAAGGCAACACACTACAGTGTAGCAAACCCAGGGAGTGCTGTCGGCAAGGCAGCGCATTCACTCCATGCAGACTCTGTGCTTCCCAAGGGGAATTCAGCTCCGAAGTGAAGAGGGACAGTGGCAGAAGCATCACCAACCTGCTGGATGCCATTCAAAGGGTGTCCATGTGGTATCAGAAACTTTGGTTAGAAACTTGACCATCTTCTTAAAGGAAGTCCATTTGAGTATGGATCTTTCCTCTATCAACAATGTGGGTAAAGATAAGAGAAGGACTCCTTGGAAAATTTGTAAAGCAGGGAGAGAACTGACATGTAGAATGACAGTCACAAAGCAAAAAAAAAAAAAAAATCTTTCCAGACTGGAATAATAAACTAAACCCAAGGAGATTAAATTTAACAGGACCATGAGCAAAAATCCAACATTAATTGTTGGGTTTTGTTTTTCTAATTACACAAACTCAAGATCAGGGAGACGAAGGGAGAGCTGAGTTTATCTGGAGGTTAGAGAAAGAGGGGAGGAGAATGAAAAGAAAATTTCAGACCCACCAGTTAAACTGGCCTGGAGAAGACCCAGCTAATTCCACTTATTGAGTGTAATTTATTCTCAATCCAGAAACATAGAGTTCTTATAGCTGCAAATAAATGCTTCCAGCCCCGAAGATAAATAGTGTTGGTGGTCTTATGGAAAAGGCTGCCCCTGAGAGACAGGCATTAGTGCCAGGTCCCCCGAAGATCATGTCCATCTCTAGATTGCACACTGATGTCACAGCACACCATGGGAAGATTTATGTGTATGGTACAAATATGGCTGCCTCCAGCAGGATACATTTTGGGGGACTTCCCTCAAAAGATTACTCTGGTACAGCCCCTTCATGATTACGTTGAAATTGCCTCTGCTTTCTTCATAGATATGTGGAAATAACCAACTACTTCGATTATAAAGATTACAGAGAGACTATATTGAGCAAACCAATGCTGTTCTTTATTAATGTACTGACCAAAACAGACACCTCAAAAGGTAAGTATAGAAGTACGTTTGGTTTGACGCTGCTTTGCTGGATTGTGTACTGTGGCATGCTGATGAGGTGCAAAACAGAGTAGATGTCAGCTTGAGATGAGGCTGGGAAAGAGAAGCCTGGTGTGTTAGACCATCTGAAGCACAGCACAAACTTGCAGAACAAATCTCTAAATGAGCCTAGGGCAGAAGCCATCTGTCTCTTAGTTTCTTTTGTACTTCCTCTCTAGACAGGAAGTGATTCAATGTTCTCAGCCTGTGGGGGGTACAAAAATGACTAGAGTGTTGAAGGTGATATTTAAAAATACCTACAGTGTATCAAACACATATGCAAGGCATAGTCTAATGTCATTTATTGTCACAGTGGCCCTGTAGACTTACCATTCAAATAGAAACACATTGAGCTGAAAGGCTGTTAGTAAGTGTACAAAGATATAAACTAGGACTGGCCAGGAAAACTAGAATTTGAGGTACCCTACCTAGGAAGACTTCACTATCCCTATTGTGTAGGTGAGGAAATAAAGGTAAAAATAACAGCAGCTATAAACGCTTTTGTATTTCATTTTCCAGTGTTCAAATTTCAGTTTTAAACATCTTATTATTTCTTCCAGTAAATCCGACTAATTGATAAGCAATATATTAACTCAAAATTCCAATATGAGAATATCTCAGTTTTCCTTCTTCCTCCTGCTCAGAGTAATATGGAGGGAAAGTTATGGGCATAATATTCTGTGATAGGAGTAGAATTTCTTAAACTTACTTCTAAATAACATTTTTACAATGAGTCCAAGGTAATAAAGAAGATCTACAAATTCCAAATAGACTTCCAGAAACATTCACTCTCATTCAAATTCTCTGCTCATTTCATTCTGAATCATTTTGATTTTCTGCTCACTTCATAATGCAAAGTCTCTCTGCTCTCTCAGCAGGAAGAGTCAGGACAGATGCAAGGTAACAAGCAATGCTCCTTAGAGCATCTGAATCACTGATTTTATTTGACTTGATGATGACCAGAAAGGCAGAGAACTCTCTGGGAATGTAATTCACAGATGTGTCAAGTACACCTCCTGCCTCAATCTCTCAGGAGGAATTTTAAGAAAGAATAAGAGACCTCTCCATTTTAATATGTTAATGAAAGTGCAGGGAATGGCACAAGAAGATGTTTGCAGGTGGCGTACAAAGGTACCCAGTTGTATGACAACAATTGTGGAAGCAGTACAGACACCCAGCACTGGTTAGTGTGAGGAAAGTTATGAAATGAAGAGATTGCATAATACAGAAGCTCAAGATGGTCGAGTTTAAATTAGGAGAATTGTGGTTAAGACAGTAGCCAGTCCTGCTGCTATCCTAAAGTGTACTTTAGTGCAAATTGGAAAAAGACCATTATTAGTTCACCACCATTTGCTAATTCTCCTTAGAAGTTAGTTTGTCAAAATTAATATACAAATAGACAATGTCTGTGAATATGAATAACATCCTCTAAGCTTGAGCAGTGCACAACCTGGGGTATCCAGCACAACGGTGGAGTATGGTGATGCTGACGATCTAAACAACCTGGCTTAGTTTGTGTAAAAATTAATTAAATTAATCAAATTGCTTGCTTGCTTGCCTGATTGTTTAGTTTGTTTATTATCTTAGAGAGAATATAAAGTAGTTTATATGTAAAGTTCCCCCAAAAATGGGAGAAATAAGGATAGGAAAAATAAGATGATGTTAATGCCAAGGTTAGTAGAAATGTATTCTTCAAGGATTTAACATTTTCATTGGTGGATCAGAGGTTTGGTTATCAAAGCTAATGCAAAATTTTCAGTTCCCCAAAACGGTGGGCATGGCTGGGCCGTGGCCCTTAAACATAGGGTGACTATTAGCGTTCTGTGTCTCCCTAGGAAAAGTACTTGAGTAATTAAAGCCATGAGCTTGATTCTGGGGCCTGGAAGAGTTAAGAAGTTATTGGTTAATAATATTCAAATTTTCTAATGAGTAAGCAGCTTTCCCTTACTTAGATTATATAGAATTAGACAGAATTAGATTTAAGGGATTACCAAAAACAAAACAACTATCCACCTGGACTTCAGAAACACGATAGTGTTTAAACAAAGGGCAGGACTTCTCTTCCCATTGGGGACTGTTTTGGGGGTAGGGCAGAGAGATCAATCTCAGCTTGCCTTGATCCCTTAGAAACCTGGACTGGTTCTCTGGCAGAATGAATGTCAGGTCTCTAGTGGCTGTGAAGAGAAATGAGAAGGGAGTGGGGCAGACTCCTTCCTAGGACTTCACAGATTTTCTGCTTTGCATATGAGGACAAGGTGGGAGCCAAGTGCTTTTTAAATATCCAGGAAGGTGGTGCCTTGAAAAGCAGCCGTCTGAGTTTTCTCTCTAGCTCCCTGTGCTGGGTGCGGTGGCGAAGGCTCAGGTCTCATCTGCGACAATTACAGAATGGGGTTTTTGATTTCTGAGACACAAGTGACAAACTGCAGCCTGGGAGAGCCGATTCTCTAACCTGCTTTTACACTATCCCAGATCTTCCTTCAAGTCTGTAAAATACTCTGCAACATTTCTAGAAATCTGGTTAGGCTTTGTGGTAAGGGTTTGAAGGAGCAGCGAGGGAGATTACAAATGAGAGAAATCTCCAAATAAGGTGTGAATCACGGCTTTATCAAGCACTAAGAAGAGGGTTTATGTCATACATGCCTACTTTTTGAATTCTGCTTCCTCATTTCTAGAAAGGACATATGCATTTCTTGTGAACACAAGACACCCCAAGATAAGAAGACAGATAGAGCAGGGGATGGACATGATCATTTCCTCAGTGATTGGAGAAAGCTACCGGCTCCAGGTAAGCCTTGGTCTCTCTGAACCCAGGCTGCCAACCACACCCTAGTGGTCTGTGCATTTCTTGCCAGGACTGTGTCCCTAGAGCCTCGCTATACCTTAAGTGTATCCAGGCACCATCAGCTCCCCACTGCTTCAATATATTTACTAATAAAGTGAGCTTAGCTTCTAGTAACTAGAAATCACTTATTAGAAATGTGGTAAATTTAACTTTGAGTAAGCTGTTGAAGGTCTTTCGATGGATTATGATGCCATTACAAAGACCTGTTTAAAAAAGTAATAAAGGCAATAACCTTAAACTGTATCAGGGTGAAAGAGGAGTAAGAGGTATGCTATTTTGGATATTTAGCCAGCCAATTCTATTGTAATACATATTACATTCTCTAATATAATTATATTCTCTAATAAAGGCTATAGTTAATTCATGAAATTAATTAAATGCTTCTTTCTCTTTCAGTTTGATTTTCAAGATGTAGTGAAGGATTTCTTCCCTCCAGGAAATGAGGTGGTTAATGGTGAAAATTTGAGCTTTGCATATGAGTTCAAAGCTGATGCATTATTTGATTTCTTCTATTGGTTTGGGCTCAGCAATTCCACTGTCAAGGTGAATGGAAAAGTTTTGAATTTATCGAGTACAAGACCAGAAAAGAAGGAGACAATTAAATTATTTCTGGAAAAAATGAGTGAACCTTTAATCCGAAGGAGCAGTTTTTCTGACCGAAAATTCAGTGTAACTTCCAGAGGTAAGTTAAAAATTCTCAAGTACCTGGGGACAGTAGCTCCATAACAGGGTAGAAGACTGCATGGGTGAGGAGGGCTGACTCATGGAAACAGCAAGGCCCCTTGTAACAGTGCAATATAATAACACATAATTCAGAAATGAGAAGTGTTTACTACCAAAAAGAAAGGTAGTGACTTTTCCTTTTATATGGCTTAATGTTTTTGGACATAGTTCTATTGTGCAGCACACCGAGGTAATAATTTTTAAAGGTATTGACTTAAATACATATTACTATCATTTAAGTATTATTAACAATAATTTAAATATTACAAGACTTTCATGGTGTGTATATTTGGGATAACAGAATGTTATTTCAAAAGGCCAGCTCAGAGAGGACACTTCATGGTCAACATCTTTAAAAATATTTGGAAGGGTTCTCCAGAGTTTGCAAGAACACAGAAGGATAACTCTTGAGAATGCTTTGCTTAACAAACTATGAATTATAGATGGCGGATCTGGATTTTAATATCCAGTGCCTCCTCCGCAAGAGCTGGCCAGACTTTTGTCTGGTGTGGCTGAGGCAGGTGACATCAATCAAGACCTGTCTGGACTTGTCTTCTGCTGAGCCCATTCACCAGGCCCTGCTAGTCTGCTCCGGAAAGCAACTTCCTGGAAGCAGGACTTTTACTGGTGGTTGCCAAAAAAAAAAAAAAAAAACCAAAAAAAACCAAAAAACAACCAAACAATCAAAAAAAAAAAAAACCAAACCACCATAAAAAGCACCAGCACCAGTCTGTATGAACCTGCAGTTCTCAAAAAGTTCAGATATCAAATAATCTTGTCTTTATTGATTGTATTTAATATAGTTTCTTTCTTCCAGTGTTTATAACAAGAATGCTTATGCCTAATTATTCTTATGCCAAAAGTTCTCTCTCTTCCTCACGCCCCTCCTTATTTCCCCCTCTCTTTTCCTGCCTCCTTCTCCCCCATTCCACAGTCTTTAACTTTCTCTGCCTGAAGGCTTACAAAGATACTTTAGTGGGGGATTATATAGCTAATAATCTTGGAGAAGATTAACTCACCAAGTCTTGGCTCAAAAACTGACCTCTGCCCTAGGTATCTGTCCCCCAAACATGTACCTTTTGTCATCAAGTAGAAAGGGTGCAGCCAACTCACTGCAGACTACTCCAGCCCAGAGAAGGAAATGACAGTTCACATCCTACTGATAAGTACAAAGCAACACATTTCTGTTTAGCTTTTTGTATTTTTTCTGAGAAAGCTGGGATTCTCTATTAATTATTGTCATGGTTACATTGTATGTTGTGTGAGTTGTAAAGACTCTTGTTTTTTCAGTAATGGTAATGAGGCATGTCTTGTTTGCTGTCTTCAGGTTCAATAGATGACGTTTTTAACTGCAATCTGTCACCCAGATCATCTCTGACAGATCCACTCTTGGCAGAATTACCATTTCCAAGTGTTCTGGAATGTGAAGAGACGCCCAATCAATTGATCTGATTGGACTGAACATCTTGCAGTTACTCCTACACTCCAGACCCATACCAGAACTGGAGGCTGAGAGGAGAAAGTGGGAGGTGAAGGTTGAGGGAACAGGTTGGTGGGAACCTGGCACTTCCTCCAACTTGTCAACCTCTCTGTTCCTCCTTGGTTTCTACAGATGGCCCTTTTTTCCCATTTGCCTGGGTGGCACACTGGCAGCTGACTTTAGGATGTGAGGATTTTGGCTCCATGACTGAGGGGAGCACAGGTATCCTCTCCTTTTAACCCTTTTCCAAAGAGGCAGAGGGAGCATCAGGGTCCTGCTACCCTGACCACTTTGCTTAGTGCGTTTGTAGCCTGGGACTTTTCTTACAGGCCCTGTGGGAGCAGTCTGACCTGGTGTTGACCCATGAGGCTTCATAAATCCGGGTTTGCTCCTCTGCTGGGACCTCTGTCTGAACCCAAACACAGCAAATATGGGGTCAGTGGTGCTGGTCTCTCACAAACCTGGCTAGGCAAAAATTCTAGGACACCTTTCACTAGAAGGCAAGCTTGTTTTTCATCCGGCTTACAATATACCTTAGGAGAAACATTCACGATAAGGTTCATTAGGGGATTGGCCAGGTTGATAGGATGGAAACTGTCTCCTACTGCCTGAAATTTAAACTTCCTTGGCCGCCTTCTTAACAAAGTGGTCTCTGTAGAACTAGGATAGATGATGTGGTACCAAGCAATGGCAGGGGATGGATAATTTATACAGCAGTGTCCTCTTCATTGAAAGCACATTATGCCAGTTGGGTATTTTAAATAAGCATTTAGCAATCCTAACACAAAAAGCAAGATAGAAGAAAGTTGTAACATTACCATAATCTATTGTAACATCAATACATTTTCATCTCATAACTACAATTCTTTTTGAATTCTTCAAGAAGAAAAAAAATCATCTTATCTACATGTAGAAACCTGCAAGAATGAATTACTACATATGCTTATAATGAAGATTTATGGGCCCCAAGTTTAATTTTTCTATTTTTTTAAAAGTATTCCTGTATTACACCTTTTGATAACACTACTGATTGTTCTTTCATTTTTATTTGAAATGTTATGTATCATGTTTGTGCAATTAAAATTTTTCTTAGCAGTCAACTGGTTAAATTTGTGGACAAATGTGTATGTGATCTTTCATTTGTAGTCTACAGGTCATATATTTGTCTTGTAACTTACTAAATTACATAAGAATTCACAGCCACTTTCTTAAGATGAGCCTTTTGAACAATGGTTTTATTATTTGGAGGAAAGAAGCACAATTTGATAATGACCTTTCAGAAAAGCAAAGGGAAATGTTCCTTAATAGCAGAAAAGAGTAAACACTTGTTATTCAACTTAGTGAAAAGTGGAGTATTAACAATATGTTTTCTACCAGTGCAAACAAACCTTAAGAATCAAAAATTAAATGCTTCCCAAAGGAAATAGAAGTTCTATTCACAAAAACTGACAAAGAAGATGTTTTAAACATAGCTGAATTGAGAAAAACCATCAAAATTTATTTCAGCAGTGGATTCTTTAATCTGAAATGTGTCTTTTATCATTAGAAATTTATTTTTCCAATTGACTCTAAACCAAATGCGTTCACTTATTCAATATTCACTCAGCAAAGCTTTGTCAGCTGTCTATAAAGAAATAAATATGGGGCCTCCCCTGGTGGCGCAGCGGTTGAGTGCTGGGCTGTGAAGCTGCCCACAGCCTCTGCAGCGCTAGTTCGATCCCTGGCCACCAGAGAGAGTCCCACGTGGCGTGCAGACCTCTCCTGCCACACCCGCTGCTCCCCTCACCAGTGTATTTCGTCACTCTGCTTGTTCTGTTTCTGGCTCTGGTGAATTCTCTCACCCTCCCCGCTTCTGACTGTACCTAGTGCTTGTATAAATAAATAAATAAATCTTTAAAAAAATACATTTCAGAAGTATCATGCCTCTGAAATAATTTTAGGAAAAAAAAAAGAAATAAATATGGAGCAAGTATATTTTATTGGCAAATATCACACAAGTGATATTGGAAAATCTTTTAAATAGATGAAAAATCTAAAGGGATAGATATTTTTCGGTGAAAGAGGCATCCATCTGGGTGTCAGCGTGGAGTTATTCAGACTTTTTTTTTTTTTTTAACACTGTAAGATTCATAGAAAATCCCTTTATCCATCCATCTGTCCATCCATCCACCCATTTATTCCATATGTGTACAGTACACTGAGACACCGAGATGGATGCTGGAATAGAAAATGCCTAGCCATTGCTTTTGAAGGGTTCCCAGTCTTATATAAGAAGACGCTTACAGGGGCTCCCCTGATGGCGCAGCGGTTGAGCTCTGCGAGGGCGAAGCTGCCCGCAGACTCTGCAGCGCTGGTTGGAGACCCGGCCGCTGGTGAGGGTCCCACATGGCATGCAGACCTCTCCTGCTACGTCCGCTACTTGCCTTAGCAGTGTATATCGTCAGCCTGCTTGTTCTGTTCCCTGCTCTGGCTCTGGTGAATTCTCTCACCCTCCCGCACTTCTGACTGTACCCAGTGCTTGTATAAATAAATAAATAAATCTTTAAAAAAAGAAAAAAGACGTGTACAAACTAATAAGAACAATATAGCAATGCTATGAGAGAAGTTCAAAAAAGAAAACATCTAAGATGCTTATGGTACAGTTTTGGAAATAATGAAGTATAGCCATAGAATTTAATTTCAGAACAAATAAGGATTGACTTACCCAAGTGACCAATTTGTTGAAACTCTCAGTGATTGAGGGTCTGTTAATTTATTCCAAAAACATGCAAATCCAATATTATCTACACAATGCAACAATTTTTTTTTTTCATTGCCTCATGGTTATAGATTGATTTCCAGTCAAGGATAGTGTGGCCCTTCTTGACCACTACCTTAATTGTCAGCTCAAATGTTTTTTATGCACCTATTTTAAAAATTTCATTGGAAAGTGTATCAGTTTGTAAAGGCAGTTTCTGAAGCACTTCAAAAATGCTGAAGAATTTCAAGAATTTCATTGGAATAAATCATTACTTTGAAGAAGAATTAACTTGAATGAATAAATGCCTATATAATTTAGAATGAGCATTCACACTTGATATTTACCACCGGAATAAATATGAGAAAACGAACAGTATGAGGCATTGGTAACTCCTCAGTGACTGGTGTGGCCAGCTTACCTCTTAATAGCTTAGAGGAAAACACAAGAATTCGAGGCAGCAGGGATGCTCCTGCCATTTATGTCCCTGTGTCATTTAGACAGGATTTGTTAGGGGGAAATGATGTCCTGAGTTAATCCCATACAGGCTTTGTGGACCCCACCCCCACTCCAGACTAAAGCCATCAGGACATTGGGAAAGACAAATCCCATCACCACCAAGGGGAGGGTGGCTGGGACCTGAGGGTGGAGTTGGGTAGCCAGGTTGGATATAAAAACCAGACACGTGGGCCTTGGGCTCTCTCTGGCTCGGGATCCCTCATCCCTCGCCTCCTGGCTTCACCGCTCCTGGCTGGCGGCCAACTCTGAGAGCGCCATTTTGGGATTCCTGATCGGCGGATCGGGTAGGACGCATTTAAAACTTTGTCCCCCACTTTTCTCCCAGAGCTGTACATTTCCTCATTTCCCCTTCCCTTGTAAATAAACCTTTTATTAACCTTTCACGTGTGCCTGCAGTAGAGCATTGATAAGTCCTTTAAAGCGCGCGGGTAAGGACCCACAGTCAGGCACCCCGTTTTGTATCGGGGTTGCTCTACAACAGTTTGACAAGGCTGTTATAGAATCAACAGTTTGAATCCACTGCTATGGCTTTATCTGGAAAAATATAAGTTTGGTGAGTGGTCAGTCAGAAGCAAAGCTTATAACTGACCCCATTAAGTTGGACTGCTCTAATAGAGAGTGTTATAGAATTTTCTTTGCTGATTTTTTCAATAAAAGGATAGCAAACATTTTTGAACTGCTTAGTGGTGTGTTTGAACTAAATGACCTCAGGGAGATTCAATTCTATGATGGCTGATTTTATGTGTTAACTTGGTTGGACCACAGTGCCCAAAATATTCTGCCAAACATTATCGTAGAAGTTTCTATGTAGGTATTTTTTAATGAGATTAACATCTGGACACATGAACTATAGGGAATACAGCAGCTTGCCCTCCACAGCATGAGTTGGCCTCTCCTATCAGCTAAAGGCCTAAACAGAACAAAAAACTGACCTCTGCAAGCAAGAGTAAATCCCATAAAGTAGCTTTCCACCTGAAATGCAGTGTCACCTTCTGGTCTCCAGCCAGTTGTCACGCCCTGGAGATTTTGGGCTCCCCAGGTTCCATAATTGTAAGTCAATTCCTCAAAATATTTCTCTCTCTTTCTACACACACAAAGAAACACACACACATATGCACACACACAAACACACACACTATTGGTTCTGTTTTTCTAATGAACTCTGAATGGTGGAGTCCATCACAGAAATGGAGAAAATGTTTTAAGAGTTCATCAATCAACTAAAACCAAGGAGAAAATAATTTTTTGACATGAGGACCCTTGAATAAAAGCACAGCATGCTATATAGCAATGGAAAATCTTTGGTCCAAATATAACAACCAAACCAGAAAACCAGAGACACTCCACTCAGTGTTCACAATCAAAATTTGAGTGTTCTGAAATTGCTGACTCCTCCCTCCACAACCTTCCCATCTTTACTCCTTCATATTATATTTGCTCTGCACACGTGCTGTGCATGTAGAGAAAGAACCTTATTATGATAATTTAAATTGGAAACAACCAATTAATATGTTACTCATTCAATATAACTACTCTCATTGTTTTTTGATCAAAACTCTGTAAAAGGCACATTAGTGATTTAGTCTTAATTTCTGAATGATTCACTTATTTTGGCAGGATGATAGTGGAACCTTGCTTCTCAAACTCCCTCTTAGAATACGAGAACAGGACTTCTTAAACTTCTGACCTAACCCCTTCACCTTGTGTTTAACCTACTTCAGTGAATTCTCCTTGCACTCAGGTGAAGTCCAAGCTTCTCAGCATGAACTGCAGGGTTTCTGCCTCAGTTACCTCTCGGCTTAACCCCTGTTCTTTACAAAATGGCAATGCCAAGAGACTCGTGGTCCCTGGAGTCCACAGGCTGCTCCATCCCTCCTGAGCCTCCCTTCACCTGGCTACCCCTCAGGCATCTTGAAGAGCTCGGCTCTAATATTTCCTTCTCCAGGACAGCCTGCCTAGCTCCCATAACATCCATTGCCCTCAGTGTCATCAGACAGCCCCTGCCCAGGGCACAGATACTGGAGGAAGGCAGGGAATCTACTTAATCCTTAAAGGAGGTTGCCATAAGCAACCCACATTCAAAGGCAGGGGTACTGCTGGACTGCACACAATAAATGGTTCTGCATCAAAGGCCATTTGAAATAGAAGAGAGTCTATAAAAAGAATAGCAATAAGACAGAGGAGCAATACCTTAGGTTTCTGTGTTTTCAAAATTTATAAATTGTTGTTAGAATTATTCATATTTACAGACAAGGGTAGGTCAATTTACAGATCAGGAAACTGGGGCTCAGAGAAGAATCTACTTTACCCCAAATTCCCCACATAGGAAGTACAAGGAGATCTTCTGGTTTTTGACTCAGTGAGTATCCCACCACTTCACAGCCTGTCTGAGATGAGACAAATGGAAGATATTAATAAAAATGCACTTTTAAAATTCTATATACTCACTGCTCTATTTTAAAAATACATTTCTCTTCAATTATGCTATGCTAATTAGCTCTACCATTTCCAGACAGTAATCTGTTATTGGGTGTTACTTTCTTAATTTAGCTGCCACTACCTAATCCTAATTTAGACTCATTCCTTTTAATAACGTTGACAGAAGTTGATGCGTTCTCATGTGCTCCACCATTCATTGCTTTAAAATCTGCGAGTCTAAAATGTGTTATATTCATTCCATCATATGGCTAGGAATCTATCCTCAGAAAATTCTAGTTTAGCTCTTCCTTTTTAACAAATTGAAAGCACATCAACCTGGTATTCTTACCTTTATGCCTACTCTGTCTCCTTTGATACACTCCCCTTTGTTGCACATGACTATTCACCTAAGTTTCTATTTTAAAATAACCCCTCAGGGCCTCCCCAGTGGCACAGCGGTTGAGCGCTGGGTTGCGAAGCTGCCCGCGGCCTCTGCAGCGCCGGTTCGATCCCCGGCTGCTCCCCGACCACTGGAGGAGGGTCCCGCATGGCACGCAGACCTCTCCTGCCGCCCGCTGCTCCCCTCAGCAGTGTACTTCGGTCCTTCTGCCTGCTCTGCTCCCCGCTCTGGCTCTGGTGAATTCTCTCATCCTCCCGCGCTTCTGACTGTACCCAGTGCTTTATAAAGAAAGAAAGAAAGAAAGAAAGAAAGAAAGAAAGAAAGAAAGAAAGAAAGAAAGAAAGAAAGAAAGAAAGAAAGAAAGAAAGAAAGAAAGAAAGAAAGAAAGAAAGAAAGAAAGAAAGAAAGAAAGAAAGAAAGAAAGAAAGAAAGAAAGAAAGAAAGAAAGAAAGAAAGAAAGAAAGAAAGAAAGAAAGAAAGAAAGAAAGAGAAAGTAAAAAACTCTCCAAAAATTTGTTTACAAATATAAATAAAATAAAATAACCCCTTCACAGATAAGATGGCTGGAAGTTACTTTCTAAACATGGCACCTGTATCCTCCAAGGTGTACTTACTGTCTCCTCTTGGCACCCAAGTGGGTAGTAGCTTTTCCCAGCCAGGAGGCAGTCAGTATTACTAACTATCTACTATGGGTCAATTTACTGGTTAGTTGCAAAGAATACAAAGATGAAATTATCTCCACACAAAGGGTCAGACAAAAACAGACTTTAAAACCAGCCCTTGGAAACTGACCATAGATCTGAGGCATCTGGGAGGGGAGAGAGAGGAAGAGGGGCAAGAGGGAGAGAGCACAATGGACTGTGGTGAGGACTGTGGGTGCTTTGGCTGTGGGAGGGCTACCTACCTGAAGGAGAAATTCCATACTGTCAAAAAATTAAACGGAATGTAAGACAATAGTATTTCATTTAAAAATATTTAATATATCAAACCTCCACATTCTGGGAAAACTCTGACATATATGTGAGTAGAAGAACAATTAAATCAACAATCACCAAACACGAATGTCCATGCCTGGAACGTGGCCTGGTGAAGAGAAAGGCATCGCAAACATCCCTGTCCACTCCTGTTTCTAAGCACACTTTCTACCTTCCTGCCTGCTCCCAATCCCTCTTCAGGGATGCTCAGCTTGCTAGAGTGAAACTCTTCTTGGAAATCCTGGTTCTAGTTCTATTGATGCGAGATTTCTTGTGATCTTGTCTTCCTGCTTGTTGCCTAATTACTGCAAGATCCCAGACAACTTTACCCACATTTACTTAAGCTGAGAGTTATGCATAAGTGAAAAATTTGCAGTTGAAAATCTGAATATTTTCTATTCAATAACTACTCCCCCTTTTGCTCTTTTTCCCAATGTCTAATACAATTCACAGGAAAGTTTATTTCAAAACTGTACAAACACGTTTAAGTACCCATGTCATTGGAAACTCGACTTTTTGCCTTTGCACCCCCTGCAGCCCCTGACCTGGTTAAGGATTCGAAGACGCTCTTGCTCACACCTTCGCCTCAGCACAACTGCGAACTGATCCGCGTCGCCATGGAGACGCGTCACAAAGCATCAGCGCGCGGCCTCAGCACCGGGTCCAGCTGGAGCAAGGGGCTCTACAGGGCCTCTTCGGGTAAAGAATGGCATTGCCTGGGCTGGAGGCTCCACACACGTCTCAGTGTTGCTGCCAGGAAATTTCACCAAGTAAGGCTGGGGACAAGCCCTCCCCGCGGGGGCGGGGGAGGTTTTTTTGTTTTTTTTTTTTCCCGAGAGAAGGAGTGAGCTGGAGCACTGGCTGTGTGGGTGTTTAAGTGCGTGGGCCTCCCTCTTATGGGTGAAATCCAAAGTAAGGAAAAGCTGGGAGTCAGGGAGCGGGTGTTCATGACTTCCAGCCCTTCGCCAAACTCCTCCCTAAACTGCTCAGGTGATTTTTTTTTTTTTTTTTTAAACCACACCTACGGTGTATCTGACTAGGAGGGCACAGGAAAAACTGACTAGTGCCGTTCCCAGAGATCAAGGTCAAAGGCAAAGAAGAGAACAGAGACAGCTGGAGTTGTGACCCCCACGCAGGATCTGGGAAGCACAGAAAGTATCTAACACAGGGAAGCCGCCCCCAAGAAGGTCTGCAAAGGACCTTTTGGCTGTGGCTTTAGCGCCCAGGCTGGGAGCAATGACTGGCGTTCAACTCGCTTTAGCTTTTGCTGGTCTTTCCTTCAAAATGATCTTGCATTTAGATGTAATGCCTTTAATACTAATCTTGCATGCAAATGCAGCAGGTTTACTAACCCAGCTTTTTGTGTCAATGGAGGGGAAAGTTGTCTTGCTGGATGCCAAGTGGCATGTTCACTGTGTAATTCCAGCACAGTGGCCTTTCTTGTGGCAGTAATAACTCATTCCTGCAGTCTGGCTGAGTAATTGTGATTCCACTGTGGCTACATAGCAATGGGAACTGTTCAGTTGCAAGTATCTTAGAATTGTAGTCCCATGAGAGTGAATGAAATAGGGTATTTTCATTCCATTCATCCCCTTGTAAGTTAAGGACGAAAAATAAAAAATGCCTCATTAGAACAAAAAATACTTATAATGACAAGTTTCTAGATAATCTCAAGGCAAAGTGGAGAGACAGAAGAGGGTGAACTTCCTACCCAGGATGACCCCCGCCCACAGATGCATCCCCCCATTCCTTTTGAATCTCCTCTCTTTCTATTTCTAGCCACTGTCTTTGTTTCTGTCCTTGTCTTCCCCCCACCCCACCCACCTTCTTATCTGGAAATGATGGTGTTGTCCACAACTTACTCTTTTGGGTTCATATCCTCTACATGAGCTGTCACATCCTGCCGTAGAGCTTCAGGTCTACACAACGGTGCTAACTATCAGATCTTTACCTCTAAATGGGACATTCAGTTTTCAGACTAAAACACTCAGCTGTATCACACAATCCCATTTGGATATCACAGAAGGCTCTCAGATTCAAAATGCACAAAATTTCACTCTTGTCCTCTAGACTCTGCAAGCTCAATGAAAAGGGTTCCAGATGCTCAAGAAGGGGGCAGCTTCACTGACACCTCAGTTTCATCACCAGGACTCACTAATTCTACCTCCAAAATTCTCCTTCCTCTGGGTGTTTGAATATTCACATCTAGACTTGGGTCTTCCCTCTGTAGCTGTTGCTGTAAGTGTCATCTCGACTACAAGGTGAGACTGATGTGTCACTGTCAAGCTTTGGTTCAAAAATAGAATGAGTTGATGAGCCAACTGCTATTGAACTATTATCTTAAATGCTGATTACTTCCAAGGACAGCCATAAATTACCACAAACTGGTGGCTTAAAACAACAGAAATTTATTCTCTCACATTCTGAATGTTGGCATGCTGCTCTCCTTCTGGTGGCTCTAAAGGAGAATCTCGTCCAGCTGCTGGTGGCTGTGGGCATTCTCGACTTGTGGCCTCACCACTCCAGTCTCTGCTTCCATGCTTCTCCACCTCTGTCTCATCTCCCATTGCCTCTCTATTATAAAGACATTGAAATTGCATTTAGGGCCCATCGGATAACCCAAGATGATCTGCTCATGTCAAGATCCTTGATTGCATCTGCAAAGACCCTTTTTCCAAATAAGGTACCACCCAAGATTCTGGGGGTTAGGTCAAAGATGTATCTCCTGGGGACTCCGTTCGTTTTACTACAAATGCTTTAAATTGATCATCTATAGTCCTCACAACAATGTTGTGAAGTTACAGTTATCAGATATTGTTAATACCTGCTTTATCATGTTATTGTGGGAATAAAATGAGGTAACATTCTGTGGAAACACTTTGTAATATGTGAGATGATGTACACACACATGTTGTATAAAACACATTTTATAATGTTTATAAAACTTATAATTGTGAACAACTCCAGAGATGTTAGCAAGGTGAGTGCAATAGAGCCTCTCTGCAGCAGGATATAGGAGGGCAAACTTGGCCTCACTGACCTATGGTGGACCATTTCTCCCCTGCTACACTCCCATTGACTCCTTGTCATGTCCCTCTCAGATTTTCATACCTCATGCCACTTCCTCTGTAAAATGTTTCCCTCCACATCCTCCTATGTTTCCTTGTCAAAGTTCTTCTGAACTAAGTCCCAGTTCAGATGCTACTACTCTGAAGTTTCTCCTCCTGCCCCAAGTGCCCTCTCATCTAAGCAGAAAGGATCGCACCATCACCCAGGATCCCAGGGCACAAGGGACATCAGCATATTTATAAGCTGTGCTTAGCGATATTTGTGATTTCATCTACTGGCCTGTGCGTTCTTTAAGGCCAGGCCAGGACCTCGTGGCCCACTGCCTAGCATGAGGTTTGTTCTTTGGGACAGGCTTAGGATTTGTTTGTACTTAAGCGGTAAATAGGAGATGGAAAAAAGAGCCAGGCAGACAGAATTACAGGAGAGGTAGCAAAGAGTTACAAAGATATTGAGATACTTACCCAAAATAAGGGCAAAAGAAACCCTTGACACAGAGAATGCATTGGAGACAGATTTTTATAACAGATTTCTATAAACATTCTGATTATAGATATTTAGTATTATTTCTGAAAATGTAGAGAACTCATTCTAGTATTATTTCGTTTTTACAACATTTGTCAATGGAAGTCAAAAAGCAAAATGACATTGGCTTCCCCGGTGGCGCAGCGGTTGAGCGCTGGGTTGTGAGGCTGCCCGCAGCCTCTGCAGCACCGGTTCGATCCCCGACCCGAACGCTGGTCGAGGGTCCCACATGGTGCGCAGACCTCTCCTGCCGCCCGCTGCTCCCCTCAGCAGTGTACTTCGGTCCTTCTGCCTGTTCTGCTCCCTGCTCTGGCTCTGGTGAATGCTCTCACCCTCCCACGCTTCTGACTGTACCCAGTGCTTCTATCAATCAATAAATAAATCTTTAAAAAAAAAAAAAGCAAAATGATACTTGACAAAGAAGAGGTGTAATAAGGAAGATTATTAAACACGAAATTAAAGAAAGGTAGACCAGAAACTAAGTGTGTGTCCTTATGTTTAACGCAGGTGGGTTAGAATTAGGAAGCAAGAAGACACTTCTAGGTCTGCACTTATGTAACGAGAGGGAGAGAAAGTCTGGTCTCAGATCCTAGAAGCAACCTGTTATGTCCCCTGGCCCTGCAGCTTTCTGGAATAGGCACTCAGCAACAGAAGGCCTCCAGGCTCCAGTCTGTTCTTAAAGGAGAAAAACCCCAGCCCTGGGAACACTGAGTTGTGTAGCTCGCCCCATGATTTACTGGGAGGTGCTGTCAGGGACATGATATGATCAGGGCATTTAATATAGGTAAGATCTGAGTTAGGTTCATGTTGTATGTCTTGGGGAAAAAGGAGAAGTGTTGTGCTATCTCTGTGTTGAGGATTTTTCCCAATTCTTCCAAGAGTGAAATGCAGCGATTTTGATCAAGTTAAATGAAGCCTGCCTTTAAGAGCAGCACTGTCTCACTTACGTCTCCCACTTACTCTCCCACACTTGAAATTCTCTTAACAAAGAACATTTAATTCTGCTACTAAAATAAAATGCTTTAATGCATAAAATGATTCCCAGTAAAGCAGGAGTGTGACAAGATAATTCTCATAGAGTGGTGTCAGAGGGCAGACCAGGAGTCTGTAACCAGAGAGGGAGAGGGGCATGCAGGGGCTTGGCTGTGGCAGTCTCTAGGTGTAGGAGAAACTCAACCAGTGTGAAGGCAACTGGTAAATCTTCACAGATAAGCAGATCCAGCTGCCTGGCTGGGCTCCCGGAGCCTGTTCAATTAATCAACGAGACCTGGGCGGCAGGGAGTGGGGAGGACATGTGGACGTCAGCAGGAGAAGGGCAAAGATGAAAGGTATGGTCTGTTTGCTCAGGCCTCTCCATGCAAGGCAGTGGAAGTTGAAGAGGTATTTTAGATACTTTACAGCAATTGTTTTTTGAATTCATGAGTGTGAGCAAATGCCAGCAATGAAGTGACTGACTGCAGTGTCTAGAAGTCAGCTAACAACCCCCAGACCAGAGTTTAGCCATAAAGGGGACATTTAAACCCAGATTCTAATGGAATGTAAAAAGCAACAGGTAGGGCCTCCCTGGTGGCGCAGCGGTTGAGTGCTGGGTTGCGAAGCTGGCCACAGCCTCTGCAGCGCCAGTTCGATCCCTGGCTGCTCCCCGGCCACCAGAGGAGGGTCCCACATGGCGCGCAGACCTCTCCTGCCGCCCGCTGCTCCCCTCAGCAGTGTACTTCGGTCCTTCTGCCTGCTCTGCTCCCCGCTCTGGCTCTGGTGAACTCTCTCACCCTCCTGTGCTTCTGACTGTACCCAGTGCTTGTATAAATAAATAAATCTTTAAAAAAAAAAAGATTCTACAAATATCATTAAAAAAAAAAGCAACAGGTAACTGTTGGCTATAACAAGGGAAGGATGACTGATTTAAATTTGAAATACATATTCCCAAGAGATTTGGTGGCACTCTGTCACCAACGGAGGTTGGCTCAGATCAATGCTAGCTGTGGCTAGCATCTACCTGATGGCAAATTCTCTGTCCTTGCCCCCCTAGATCCTACCAGGAGCATTAGCCTTAGGCAGCCCCTTCCTCCCCTGTAAACACTTTCTTCCTGTGGCTGTTAGGATGCCGCATACTATCCGTGTTCCTCTCCTCTCAGTGACTACTCTGCCTACTACCTTTACTGGCTCCTTCATCTCCCCAACCTCTGATACGACCCCAGACTTAACTTTTGGACTTCATCTCCTCTAACTATGCTCCTTTGCCTGTTGATCTCATCCACTTTAAATAACACCAATACCACAGAATCTTACACAGTTAATACAAACATGAATTAGAGCTATATCCAATGAGTTGGGGGGGTTCCAAAAAGACACTATTGTCACGGTAGAAGAAAAGGGCACTGTTTAATATGAGTGCATTTTTGTAAAAATGGTGAGAACTGAAGCCTAATATGTCAATGTATTTGCATATGCATATATAAACCTACATGTGATTATAGCAGCAGGTGTAAAAGTAAAAGGTACAGCTGTTAACATGGTGTAGGGAGGAAAGGAGAGTGATAATACAGAGAGGAAGAACCAAGGAATAGGTGTCCCGGATAAACCTTGACATGTAAAACATGAGCCCTGCTGTATAAAATCACCTCATATGTTCAATATGTCTAATACGATACATGAAAAGCTGGTCACTAAATAATAGTGAGCATCTTTTCAATGATAGGATTTCAAATGAACTTTCTGCTTTCTATTTTTATGCATTGCTTGAACAAGAATTTTAGAGAAAACTAGCATGTATGTATTCTTGAGAAAAATAAGAGACCTGCTTTTACTAAGGGAGGAAACTCAGAAATTAAATTGAGCTTTCCCTCTCTCCTAATAGAAGGCACAAGCTTCCCTTTATTCCTTTAGACTCTAAATCTGATCCAAAATGTTTTTCTCTGGCAAAATCATTGTAATTATTAAAATAACATTTGATCAAATTGTGCTGGTTTGCCACATTTAAAACTGTTCTATTATGCTTTAGCAGGTGATACCAACTGGGATTCCTATGCCACCACGATGAAGACTGCATTCACACCCAAGACAGGAGCAGTGCCTGCCTTGATTCGGTAGATCTTTATTTGAGTCAGGTTGATTTACACATTCTAATCTGTTCACCTGTATTCTATTATTCAGAATCCAAAGACAATAAAAAAAATAATCAAAGAAGGCTTACACAAAATGCATTCAGTTAGGACCTATGGCATGTGCAGCTCTCCTCCAAGCATCAAAGAGAGATCCCCCTTCCAACAGTATCCAAACCTCCAAACTAGGAAAATTAATGTGGATTCTTCATAAAGTTATAAAGCATGCATCATGCTTTATAATAGCTTCAGCATATATGTCAATAGAATTGCACTGCCTAAAACACTGTGTATGAATTGAACCCATTACCTGATACATAGTAGTAGGCAGTCAATGACAATTGAATGAATGAATGCTATCACTTCCATCATCAATACTAGTCTTGGAAGCTGAAGGAAGGTGCAATCCCCTTCCTTCCTTACCCCCACATCTCCATTCATTGTTTGCTAACGCAACTAGGCTTGTAACTTCTCCATTTCCATCTGAACTGAGGGTCGTGGGAGCCTCCATCCAGTGGATGCCCCTCTAAGCTCCGGGAGGGGTGAGGGAGAGTGGGACCAGGAAAGCCATGCCGTCTTTCATTGGATCAGTTGTGATGGGAAATCAACATGGGGAATCTTCACTAACCTGTGTTTACTCTGTGAATTGTTTCCAATAAAGAGGATCTTTTCACCTTAGAAGTTCGAGTTATTGAGAAGTCAGATGAAGTATTGGGAGACAGTGGCTGCAGAGTAAGACAAGGGTGGGTTCTTACTCAGCTCTCTGCTTTAACCCTTATCATCTCTGTGCCTCAGGCAAGTAACAAGCTACCTGTGCTCAGATTTATGGCTGGTGAAGTGGAAATGATGACGCAGGCCCATGGTGGTGGCTCCGAGCACAGAATGAAAGCACTGCAGTGACTAGCACAAAAGACTTACTTAAAATGTTTTCATTAATTTTTCCCCACAGCACAATATATGACAGATTTCCAAAAAAGTGCAGGGGCTGCAAGGCTTCTGATTTCCGAATTACTGTGTATCCCGCTGAGTTGCATTGTATCCCTTAACCAGGAGATGTATCATCTGACAGTAATGATTATACCAGCTTCCCAGACAGAAACACAATCTAAAGAAAGAAACCTTTGGGCTGAAAGCCAAAAACACATGGGTGCTTACTGAGTCTAGGTCAGTGGTCTATAAATTCACATTTTTTCTCTTCATAGGAAAGTTTTAAATTAAAATAGCTGCAAAAGATAAAATTCCCATTCCACCCTAAATATTGATATTTTAAAATAAAACTATTGAGTCATTTCTTTAAATAAAACCAATGGGTAATTTAAACACGTGATCGAATTGAGAACACAATGATCCTTTAAAAAAATACAGAAACACACCTTTTAATAGATAATTTATTTCATTCCTAGTGCTTCTTGAATGCCTATTCCCACACCACTTCCTCAGCTGAATTTTACCCTGAGGTAATATGTTTAAAAGCAATTTATTGATCATTCCATTGTACTTCTTTACAAGTGTTTCAGTACATTAATTGAAATTAATTTTTAAACATGTTATATGACCCTAAGTATTGAGCTCTCACAATTATTTTTAGTATACTGCTGGCCAAAGCAATTTTACTACAAATGTAAATAACTATAAAAGACAAAAAGTAAATTTTTAAAAACACATCTTAATGAGATAAATGGGGCTGTTTTGTTTTCAATTAATTCTGTTTATGTATCCAGTTTTGAATGTCATTGTTTTTGGACTAAGACCACATTCAGCATCACAGGTTTTTGCTCCTTTTTTTTTTTCAATTTATACATGCTAACATTGGGAGGCCTTCCTCACATAAATAAGTAGATGTGAACGAAGTGAGTTTTCATGTAGCATTGTCACTCAATAGTTTGAACTCTTTCTGAGTTCTATGCCAAAAATTACAAGGTGATTTTCAATAACTGATCAGCTGACAACTTGGTTTTTTCAAAATAAACAATTAGATGATTTGTCATCCAGTTATTGAGTTATTCCCTATCTCATGTTTTTCTGGGAAGTATACTTCTCAGAAAGGCACATCTTTACAAATGACTATTAAATTACATCTGTTACACTTTCACTTGGTGGAAACTTGTTTGATATTATATAACCAAAAAGGACTTAGGAAAATAGGAACATTAATTTCAATAAATGTTTCCAGTCCAATCTTATTTTTGACAAAATGCTCTTATCATAAAGTACTTTAAATATATTTTTATCAGGGCCTCCCCGGTGGCACAGCGGTTGAGCGCTGGGTTGCGAAGCTGCCCGCGGCCTCTGCGGCGCCGGTTCGATCCCCGGCTGCTCCCCGACCACTGGAGGAGGGTCCCACATGGCGCGCAGACCTCTCCTGCTCCTGCCGCCCGCTGCTCCCCTCAGCAGTGTACTTCGGTCCTTCTGCCTGCTCTGCTCCCCGCTCTGGCTCTGGTGAATTCTCTCACCCTCCGGCGCTTCTGACTGTACCCAGTGCATGTATAAACAAAACAAACAAACAAACAAACAAATAAATAAATAAAACATGCCTCTATAAAATATATATATATATTTATCAAAACCTTGGAGTTGAAGATTTAACTCATGCAATTTACATCATGTTTATCTAGTGATAAAATTAGTCTCTGTTGTCAAACCAACAAGTAGAGTTAAACTTACTTCCTGTGACAAAATATGACTATGCTTCTATTTCAAGTAAATGTTAATATGTGTTTTAAGGAGTATTATGAAAACTACTAATAATTTATGCAATGAATATTTTAGGAAAGATTATTAAATGTAGACAAGAAGTATAAAAAGATTCAGGTCTAATAAGATTAATTATATCCAAGTAATACAAAAAATGCAATGAAACGTTGTAGTTAAAATGTGTGTGCTGTCTGTAAAGTGAGGAATGTAATTTTAAAAGATGAAGTTCCTCAGTTAAATGTTCTCATGTAGAACTTTGGTACTTTACTTTGGAAAATAATTTAATCGTTACATATAAAAATCAGAAACAATTTCATTAATTTTTATATACACAAAATCAAACATTTACTATGCATTTAATGAAATTAATATTATATATGCTAAAAAATTAATTGTTCTGACAATCTAGCATATATTTTCATGTTTGACTACATATTTCATAGGTAAGATAAAATGAGAACTGGCTAAATGGGAGTATTTCATAATCTGGGTGGATTTAAAAAAGATTTAAATACCTATTGAATAATAAATACAAAATCTAAAAAATACCATAAGATTTTTATCACCAGTCAGTTTTATACCAAGATCTTTAAAAAGTTGATAATCTTAGATTCCAGGTGCTTTAAAAGAGTCTGCGTTGCCAATTTGTGCTGCTTCATTGACTCAGAGATATTTTTCTTTCCAGCAAATGACATGTCCCAGAGACTTAACAAATGTTTTAATTTAAAAAAGTTGAAAAACGGTTAGCTTTAAATACATGGGGAAAGGGTCATTTCAGCCATTCCATGTTTTCTGCTCTCCCTTCAGAGGCCTCTCCCTGAAGAAGGATGTACACTTGGTAATTGTTAGATGGAAAACCAGACATTGCCTCAGTCACATCACCACACAATGTACAGTAGTCTCCCCTTATCGACAGAGGATACCTTGGAAGCCCCCAATGGATGCCTGAAACTGTGGAGGGTACAAACCTTATATATCCTATGATTTTCTTATACATACATAGCTGTTATTGACTGAAATATTCACCATTGTGAAGCAATTCAAAAAAGGTTTTTAAAGAGGATATTCAGAGCAAATTCAGGGAGACAGCCTTCAGATTTCTCTGAGTGCTAGTCTCATTCTTCAAAGGTTTGGTTCCAGTTTATATCACCATTTGTGTAGCTGGGCTACATGCACAGAAAGGACACATAATTCCGTAACAGAGATAAAGCAGACATCTGTTTGCATTCTTCATTCATGATAAAGGAGGATGCTGTGTATAATGTAAAATGATCTCTTACCCTATAGTCAGATATTATCCATGTGGGGGAAGGTGCAAGCATCAAGGCTTAGATTTTTTTTTTTTTTAAATACTAGAGTGTTCCTGAGATGTGAGGGGAAGACTGTGTGGCCAGCTGCTCATTTCTAGTTCCTTCCTGTAGCCACTTGCATCTGGAGGGGGGATAGGGGTGTTAGACTTGGCCCCAGGGCTTTTGCATTTAATTTGGCCACAGGCTTCCTCACAGCAAACATCTCCCACTGCCTCCAGGCTTCTGTAGCTGTTCTGCATTGTTTTCAGAGCACAGACATCTCCAACAGACAGTAGATTTCTTCTTTTAGTCCACACTATAATAAAGTTTAATTTATAAATTAGGCACAGTAAGAAGTTAACAACAATCATAAAATTTTATATCATAACAAGTTATGTGAATGTGTTCCTCCCCAAAATACCCTATTGGATATAATATTCAGACCATGGTTGACCAGGGTAAAGGAAGCAGTGGCAAGCAAAACCTAAGATAATGTGGGACTACTGAGGTAGCGACATTCAGAACACCCCACATAGCCCCTCACTGTCATGCCTGGCTTCGTGCTCTCAGAAATATGCATCAGACCTAGTGTGACAAGCCCAAGGCACTTGTGTGGGACTTGGGTTACAAAGCAACTATCCTGAAGCCACTCTGACAAAGTTTCCCTCTATTGGGCACTCTTCCAGAGGTTGGAGGCTCGCATGCTGGAGTGAAATGCACTTAGTGAAACCCTGTGTGAACTGCAGAAGGGAGAGAAGGGACCCAGATAGACGTGTAGGTTTGCTCTTAGGTAGATGCAAGCTGGGAAAGAGTGTACTGAGAAATGGAGGTCTGAACATCGACTCTGCTAAAGCTTCTTGTGCAGTGTTCCTCTTGGAAAATCTTCGTGTGCCTTTGATTACCACAGATTGATTTAGGACCACAGTCCCACTTGACCCTACGCATCTGGATGACAAGTAAAATAATCCATCACCCAGATGTATCCCGCTCTCTGGATGTTGGTTTCTTGCAAATATAACTAGGACTGAATCCAGCCCTCTTTTTAAAAGTAGTCAACATGAAATATTGTAGACATACAACATACAATGAGTATCCAGTTACCACGCTGCTTTAATAATCGACAACCTGCAGGCACTTCATGGATAACTTCCACGCAGCCTTCCCAAAGGATGACGTTGAAGCAAACTCCAGGCAATCAATGTATCATTTCAATTCTACATGTTTTTCCTGTATCTCTAAAAAATAAGGACATCCTAATAATATATAACAGTGTTATTATCTCAAATAAAAAGCATTTCTTTAATATCAAATAGCCAATTCTCTATCAAATCCCCCAATTATTTAATTATTTAATTATCTTATAATTAAAAACAAGCAACTGATTCAAAACAATCTAAATTAGGTCTGCATGTTGCATTCCTTCCTCCTCTCTTTTTTTTTTTTTTTTTTTTGAGACATTCTTTGCAGAAGCAGCATCGCTGCTCTTGATTTTCCTCTTTTTGTGTGTTTCCTGTAATCTGAAATTCCAAAGATTTCTGACTCAGGTTGGGTATTTTGGCAAAAATATCTAATAGACAGTGGTGTAAATGTTCATCCACAGCATATAACATCTGTTGGTCTCTCTTTTTGAGCTATGGTTAGCAACTGCTGGTCCTTACCTTAGGAATTTGCAAACCAGTGGTATGCTAATATTTTTATTTATCCCTTTTATTAACTGGAATATTTCTGTAGAAAAAAATCCATTTACACTGAAGGTACTGTATGTAGAGTAGAGGACTTAGGACTTAAAAATTAGAAATTTAATATATTTCAAATTGCTGCTCTTTTATATTTGATTTAAGGCCTCCCATACTTTGGTTAAGAGCCGTCCTAAAATATAGGATTGCTTCTTCTCGGAGGAACCTGGGAATTAATTTATTTCTGACATTAAGTCTTAAGCTAGCCAATCTTTAAAAAACTGTCATGAGAGCTTGTTTGGAGGTTCTAGCAGGGGAGCGCAGCTACTCGTATACCCTCGACCGAAGACCGGTCCGTCTCTATTCGGGGAAGGCCGTCCTCTTCGACCCAGCGCGCAGCTTCGGGAGGGACGCACATGGAGCGGTGAGGGAGGAAGGGGACACCCACCTAGCCAGCCAGATCAGCCGAATCAACCCTGGCGATCAATGGGGTGACAGATGTCGCAGCCAGATCGCCCTCTGTCATGACATATGAAAAAATGTTCAACATCACTTGTCATCAGGGAAATGCAAATCAAAACTACCATGAGATACCATCTTACACCAGTGAGAATGGCACATATTAAAAAAACTAGCAACAACAAATGTTGGCGAGGTTGTGGAGAAAAAGGAACTCTCCTGCACTGTTGGTGGGAGTGCAAACTGGTCCAACCACTATGGAGAGCTGTGTGGAGATTTCTGGACCTACTAAACATAGAGCTTCCATATGATCCAGCAATTCCACTCCTAGGTATTTACCCAAAGGACACAGAAACATCAATTCCAAAGAACACCTGCACCCCTATGTTTATAGCAGCACTATTTACAATAGCTAAGCTTTGGAAACAGCCCAAATGCCCAAAAATAGATGACTGGATCAAGAAGATGTGGTACATATATACAATGGAATATTACTCAGCATTCAAAAAAGATAAACACATGCAATTTGCAGCAACATGGATGGCGCTGGAAGGGATCATGCTCAGCGAAATAAGCCAGAAAGAAAAAGAAAAATACCGGCTGGTCTCACTCATAGCAGGAATCTAGAAAACTTAAATAAGGGACCAGGAAAATGAATAACTATAAGAAAGTGAAAATCAAAATCAACAAAAAACTATGAACCAGAGACACTTTTTGGGGGGTGGGGGCCGGGAGGGGAGGGATTGGGGTCAGAATGGGGCATGTGCAGTTGTATGGGGGAATATAAAAATAAAATTTATTATTTAATAAAAAAAAAAACTGTCATGAGTAAAATCAATTGACATGTGTAGAGTCCTGAGATTTGGTATTTAACCCTTTAATTTCCACTGTCTTTTCTTATAGTCAAAAAAGTATCAGAAGATTAGGATATACATACTCACTTAGCGACCCTATTCCCAATCAGACACAGTACAATGATGAGTATGTTTGGAAATCATATTCTAAAGAAGATTTGATCAAACCTGGGACTTCAAGAGGAATCAAGAACCACAAATCTCACTACATTCAAGTAAGATAATATCTACATACCTGTTGAATTTAATACTGTATCAAAACCCATAGGAATGAAAGGTTTTTTTTTTTAAATCTATATCAAAAAGTCCTTCATCTTCTACAGTATGATTCTTATGAGACTATTTCTTGGCAACTGTTTCACATTTCTGTCTATCTACTTCTCCCTATCTCCTAAATTTACAAAAAATTATAACTAAAGTGGAATTCACACAAAAAATTAACTATTTTAATATAAACAACTTACTGGCAATTAGTACATTCCTAATGTTGTCCAACCACATCGATCTCATTTCAAAACACTTTCATTGTCCCAGAAATAAACTCCATACCCATTAAGAAATTATTGTCCACTCCCCTCTCCTCTAGCCAGACAACTACCAATCCATTTTCTATCTCTATAGATGACAGATTCTGGGCATTTCATATGTAGAATCAGACAAAATGTGACCTATTATATCTGACTTCTTCCACTTAGGGTAATATTCACTTAGGATAAAGACTAATGTATTCTTCATCAGTATTTCATTCCTTTTTATGATTGAGTAATATTCTATTATATGCATATACACTAATTTGTTTATCTGACAATGGGCATTTTGGTTGTTTCTGTCTTTTGGCTATTATGAATAATGGTGCTATGAACAGCTATATACAAATAGTCGCACTTGGTACTATATATTTTCAAACCACAGGCCTTTTATCATTCCATTGACTCTGTAAAATAGAAATTTTTTTTTAAAAAAAGCTTATCAAAAACTACTACAGTCATGTCAAAATTGAAGAGGTGCCTGCTAGCCTAAGATAAGATAATTTGAACTTCAATAGATAATACATGTGATACTTTGAAACACATCAAATATGTGTAAATCTGTGAGTTCTGTTTAAGAAATTGGGACACTTTCAGAGAAAGTAGGAAGCTCATTATTATCTCTAAAACTGATAAGGGAAAAAGATCAACTGTTTCCTGTCTTTTCTTTATGAACAATGGCACTGGAGAACCAAACTATAGTTGAGAGGATATGTCTCTTAATAAAGATATTCTAACTAATAAAAAAATGGAAAAGAAATGATAGAGTATCACACTTTGACTCAATTAACCTAGACATCGAGTAGCAACAGCTGCTAACACAGTCATACCAGAGGAATAACTACAATATCTCCTCCTACAGTCTTTCCAAACACCATCTCTCATCTTGACAATGGGTTCTCAAATAAGTTTAAGTCAGTCTCTGGATCTAGTTTCCAACAAGCAAGAAATACAGGGCACACAGCACAGTAAATATATAATCAATAAAATCCAGATTATGGAAAGTTCTATACATCAAAAGGCTTAGTTTCTTCAGTAGAGAAATTAGAAGGGAAAGGAAAGGATGGAGGTGGAACTTGAAAGTAATAGAGACTTAAAAGACAGATTTGTGACAGTGAGTGCATGTAACTATTGTGAGGAATTCCAGTGTAAGGGGCAGGTGAGAAGGAGTAATTAGAGGGGTTTAGTGTGAAGAGAGTGTTTTCTCTTTAAGATTGGCAAAATGAAGGCAAGCTTGATATTGATGGCAATGACCCAGTAGAGAGAAAGAAATAGAAGTTGTGAAAGAAAAATAAGAATTGTTGGGGTGATGTGCTGGAGCGACTGAAGGCCATGGGCGGGGACTGAGCCCTCTAGGAGCACCTTGGCTACCCTTCAATCCCATTGAAACATAATGGCAGGCCATGGAGGGTCTCTTCATGTGGTTTTATCAGGAAAGTAGGAAGCAAAGTCAAGAGAGAGGGAAGATGGAAGAGGTAATGGAGGTTTCAAGTTTTATGAAGTCTCTTTGGAGGTGAAGAGGAGAGAGGTCCCACCCTCTCAGTTCCTACAGGATGCTGCTGAGGCTTCTGCAGTGAGGTTGTTGTCTCTAAGGACAGGGCTCTTAAGGGGAAGAAGTGACTATCTGATCCTCGGCCAGGGCTGTAATTCATGTGTTCTTGTCTGGAAGAGATGTCTGGTTGCAGGCACAGCTCTTTGCAATCACATTTTTGTGGGCCCAATGTTAAAGTCAAAGAAATGATTGGGTACCTGCATTACAGTTGGGTATCCAATGAGACCTGTTGACAGGCTCCTGCGTCTATCAAAACTGTGCTGTGGTAGCCGATGTAAAGTACTCAAAAGAACATGTACACAGAGACACATACTTTCTTCATTCCAATACTTGAAGCCAAAAGGATTTTCTTGAAAATTGTGTTTGTCATAGGACTGCTTTCTCTGGACACTACCTCGAGGTCGATCAGCATCAGTCAAAAACTACTTCCCTTGGAAAATTGATGCTTCAATGGAAGAGGTCAAGAAGGCAATAGCAAATCAGTTTATTTCCCACACTAAGAGAGACTTTGTGGACAGAACAAAAGGTAAGCATGTTTAGTGTTTTCCTAATCCTTGTACTGCATGGGCTTGATACTGATGGAATGAGCAATATGATGCAGTCTCTTTCCTCAAGGAACTCACAGTGTAGACAGGGAAGAAGGTGATTCAGTAAACAAGAAGAATGCGGTATAAAAGATGCACACTGTAGGAAATGCAGGTGCAGTGGGTACTTACATAAGGTGCTGAGGGGGGAGAGGTCAGGAAAAGATGAGCCTGAAGGATGAGACAAATTAGCCATGTAAAGATGATGGGATTGAGTTATACTTGTTTCCAGTTCTTAACTGCTCATTTGCTATTTTAAAACATTGATTTAATTTAATTAAACGAATGCATGTATCTACTTAACTATAGTTACCTGCAATGAAATGTACAATGAAATAACAATGTACAATGAAATAACAGCACCTCTCTCCACTCCTAGTCCTGCTCCCTTTGGCAACCAATTTTAATCCTTTGAACTATTTCTTCTTATGTGATCCTTCATATTAAAAAAATATATCCTTAGGGCCTCCTTGGTGGCACAGTGGGTTGAGTGCAGCGCTGTGAAGCTGTCCACAGCCTCTGTCCACAGCTGTCCACAGCAGCACAGGTTTGATTCCTGGCCGGCCAGGGAGATACCCACATGGTATCTCCTAGACCTCTCCTGTCTAGCCCGCTGCTTCTCTCAGCAGTGTATTTCAGTCAGTCTGCCTGTTCTGCTCCCCACTCTGGCTCTGATGAATATTTTCGTACCCTGCACCTCTGGCCTATACACCAGTTCTTGTATGCATAAATAAATAAATCTTTTTTAAAAAAAAGAAAAAGAAATAGTGTGTGGAGGAACGTTCTTGAGTGCATTCTTCTAGGAATGTCCTTTTTTCTTCTTTACACTAGTCTGATAGTTTGGCTGGATATGATGGCAATCTTCCCTCAGACAGTATTCCTCCAATGTTTCCCAGTATCTAGGATTTCTATGTGGAAGACTAATGCTGTTTTGATGCCTGAACTTTAGTATCATTTTATTTCCTGGAAAAGTTTTTAAGATCTTCTCTATTCCTGACATTCTGAAAGTTTACAATTGTATGCATTTGTGAGAATTTTTTGCCACTCATTATGTCCGACAATCAAGGGCCCTTTCAATTTAGAAATTCACGTCCTTCATTCTGGGAACTGTTGCCAGCGTAGTCCTCACTATTGTTCTCCATCTCTTTGTTCTCTTCTGAGATTCCTGTTTGTCTGATTGATCCTTTAAATTTCTTATCTTTTCTCTCCTAATATCTTTCTTTTTGTTAAAAGAAATTTTCTTTTTGAAAAAAATGCTTTTTAACTCTTCTACTGAATTTTTAAATTTAGCTCTCATATTTTCAATTTCTGAGCCCCTTTTCTTCCTCTCTCTGATTATTTTAAAGCAGCATTCTGTTCTTCTATAGATGCAAAAATCGTCATATGTTTTAGAATCTTTGTTATACTTTATTTTCATTGTTTTCATCTGTTTCTTGCATGAGCTCTATTTTCTCTGAGAGTCTTAATGGTCTGGTAAAAACTTTGTTTTCTGTTTATATTTACAAAGGAGCAAAGGCAGATTTCCTATGAAATTAATAAAAATTGAATCATACTCCATGTGTTCTTAAAGTGGGTATGATGGGGTTTTGTAGAGTTGCGGGTCCTTGCGTTCACTCTGGGAAAGGTTTCACCAGAGCTCCTATTTCAGCGGCACATGGTGAGTTCCCCAGGCGAGTTTCTCCATGAGATGGAGACATTAGTCATATTTAAAAAATAGGTTTATTAGGGAAGGGGAAAGGGACAGGTTTGCTAAGAAAAAGCCTGCATGGTTGCGGGCGGGTGACATTGAGGAGAGCGGCCTCTGCTGAGGGAGGTCAGTGGAGAGAAGTCCCGACAGGTGCAGGTCACAGGCAGGCAGAAGGCTGCTGCCCTGTAGAGGGAGAGAGTTGGTGAAAAGAAGCACCTGCATAGGCACAGGTGGGCAGCGGGAGAGCTGCACTGAGCCTGTGCAGAGACTGCACTGATATAGTCCTCTTCTCTTTGGGAGGGGTCATTCCTCCATGGAGTGGCCTGTTTGTTGCTGATTTGGAATAACTAGGCAAAACCAGGAAGGGACCAGAGATTCCAGGATGGGCCCAATCACCATCTCTTTACCCTCGGGTCTGTGCTCTACTCCCTGTAGCATCTGATCCTGCTTGGGTCTCATGCCTTGTGATAAAGCACTGGTGCCTGAGGATCACGACCACTACAGCTGGGTAAATAAATGGTCATGTTATTCCCCTCGACCCCCACCTCCTTGTGAGTCAGGTTCTGGTAGTGGGGCACCTCCTTTCCAGTCTTTCTATTCTTTTTTTTAAAATTTTTTTTTTAAAGATTTATTTGTTTATTTATTTATACAAGCACTGGGTACAGTCAGAATTGCGGGAGGGTGAGAGGATTCACCAGAGCCAGAGCAGGGAGCAGAGCAGGCAGAAGGACCAAAGTACACTGCTGAGGGGAGCAGCAGGCAGCAGGAGAGGCCTGCATGCCATGCGGGATCCTCCTCCGATGGGATGGCCGGGGAGCAGCCGGGGATCAAACCGGGGCTGCAGAGGCTGCGGGCAGCTTCGCAACCCAGCGCTCAACCGCTGCGCCACCGGAGAGGCCCTCCAGTCTTTCTGTTCTTGTCCTCCATCAGTTATGCCCAAAATATGAAGCTCAAGGTCCACAAAACCTACCAGGGTGTCACTCAAATCTGATTGGAAATCACATATAGAGATGGAACTTGTTAGCTGGTGCTTGACTTAGGTGAAAGATACACATTTGGCAGTTGACATTCTGAGAGCAGGACTAGGGAGGGAACTGGATCTTCCTGTTGTACAGACTTACTGAATCCCTCTCTTTCTAGTCCAGTATCTCAAGTCACCTACCTTTAATTGTGCCTGTGTCCCTAAATCCAGAGTTTCTCTGGTTCAGTTCTACAGAGAATTCCTGGTTAGGAAGGGATAGTTGTATGAGTGCATATGAGGCTAAGGAGGTGATCAAGGAAACCACCATGTATCCATGTTTTCGCCCAAACTCTTTAGTTTCAGCCCACAACCTCACTAACTGCCTTCCACTATAGGTGTTACTTCTAAATTTCAACCTGTTGGGGTTCTGTAGTGTGGATGAATTCACTTTTTTGTTAGCCCCCTCTGCAGATTGTTAGTTTCAGTTTCCTCTACTTTGTTAAATCAATTGCTTCATCTCCACTTGGTTTCCATCTTCTAAAAATGGGTTAACATCTCAACTATTATTCTGATGAAGTTTGGGGAAGGAGGTGCTTCCCACAGGGTTTCGTGGGAAGCACCATTAACCTCTTCACTTTTTAATCCCTTTCAACCTGGTCTCTGCCCCCATCATGTCATTGAAAGTGCCCATGCCAAGGGCCCCAGTGACTGTCAGCGACATTTTCCTGTCTGCATCTTACCCGACCTTCTAGCAGCATTAAATGTTGTTGGCTGTTTGCTCTTTTTTAAAACACTTACCTTTGGGCTTCTGTGACACCACACTCCCCCGGGCTTCCCTATTCTTTGATGTCTTCTTTCTGATCCTTTTTCTATTTGACCTCTAATAATTTGAATTCTTTCGAGCACCTGATTCCTTTCCAGAGCATCTCTACTGAGGATTAACACAGTTGTATCTCTTTCCCAAACCTCTCCTGAATCCCTGATTTTATATATTTGGGGACTGAGTAGAAGTCTCAGAGGGATTCCAAGTTATGACCTATTCTTTTCCCTGTCAACTAACCTCCCTACATTAGCTATATCATACATACTTTATTTATGTCCCCTCCATTGCCTTTGCTACAGGGCAACTAACTGATCTTTTAGACATCTAAATCAGATAATATTATTCTACTGTTTCTTTTCACTAGCATCCCACTGAACTTTGTATAAAACACTAATTCCATTTCCTTGTCTTAATTCATAAGGTCGTGCCAGGTGAGCTTGGTCCTTGCTTGCTTTCTCATCATTCTGCATTCTAGCTCCCTCATTCACCAGGTTTCAGTCATGTGGATGTTTTTCTAATTCCTATAAGATGTCAACTGCTTTTTCACCTTTGGTCAGTGTTTAGGTTATCCCCTATGCCAGAATGATGTTCTCCCAGGTCTTTCTGTGGTTTCCATTTGTCACTCTGTTTAAATGTCACCTTGTCTGCGAGATGTTTCTTACTCTTTGATCTGACCAGCATGCTGCCACCGTTTATTTCCTTCTAGCACTTTGCATTTTATAGTCATTTGCCAATTCTTATCTTTTGTTATCTTTGTTTTGTTCTTTCCTCTGCTGCACAGTAAGCTTCCAAAGGCCTTTATCCATCCAGGGTTTAGTGCAATGCATAGTGTATAGGAAGCACTCTAAATATTTGCTGCATGATGCAAATAATACATGAAAGTATGCTTTTTGAAGCTAGTTGGGTATGGGATCAAAAGACCTCCATGCTTGCAGCTCTATACATTAAGTTTCATGGAAAGCATTGGAAATGTCAGCATTCTTAAAATATGTCTTGACCTCCCAATCAAAGTTGACCTTTCAACATGTGCAAATTGCTATTTCCCCACGTGCAGATAAATACCCAAGACTCCTTCCTAAACTTTTTAATGCTGTCTGCGTCTCTCCCTCCCCACAACCACTACCTTAGTTCAGGCTGCCAAGGTCTCTCCCTTGGATGACCTTGGACCCAACTCCTTTTCCAGTTTCTTCTAATCCACTGGCTATACTGTTTCTAGATGTGCAAACTTTACCTGCCTCCTTCAAACACTTCAGTGACTTCCCATTGTCTTCCAGATAAAAGCTAAACACCTTAGGCCTCCCTGGTGGTGCAAGGTGTTAAGCACTGCACTATGAAGCAATCCACAGCCTCTGCAGTCAGTCTGCCTATTCTGTTCCCTACTCTGTCTCTGGTGAATCCTCGCACCCCCCCCACATCTCTGACCTGTACCCCAGCTCTTGTGTGCATAAATAAATAGATAAAGCCTAAAAAAAAAAAAAAAAAAAAAGCTGAACACCTTAACAAGAGTCCTATGTAATCTGGCCCTTGTCCACCTCTCTAAGATCCTCCCTTGCCATCTCCCAAGCTATGAGATTCATTGCTTTCCACCCTCCAGACCCATGCTGCACATACACCCACACCCTTTGTGCTTTTCTTTTTCCCTATGGCATACCTCTCCCCTCCATCTTTTGACCTTTGTCTACTTCATCATTTCAGTGTAACTGTAAGCCTTATTTCTCTTCCAGGAGTCTTCTCTGATCCTCTCAAGTATGTTTCCCAGACCTTCCTCTTACTTCTTTTACCACATTGACGCCATAATTCTGTAATTATCTTTTTATGTAACTGTATCTTCAATACTTTAAGCTTCTGAAGCACAGTCACAATGTCTTATCTTTGTATCCTCATTACTGAATTGAAGTGAATGAGAAGCATTAAAAGGTGCTAGTTTTCACATACAGACTTAGAGAACTAGGCTTTGATGAAATAGAATAGCAGTGTAGGGTAAATGGTTTTCAGGCTTTTCTGCCCTCCCGCCATTAGGATAGCCCTGCCTGATGGGGCACCTGCAGTTCTTACATTGTTGTAGGCTGTGTTGTTTACTTCTGTGGGCCATGGCTCAGTATTGATATATATAATATCAGCTGCCAAGAGAAGAAGAAGCAGGAGAAGCGAGGAGAGAGGAGAAAGAAGCCCGAAGAGAGAGAGAAGCCCTGAGTGAAGACTTGCTGGGGGCTTGGAGGCCTGCTGGCCTCCTGGCCCCCACAGCACCCCTGCCTGCCGTGTACCTGATTGCTGCACTATATATAAAAGCCTGAGAAAAGCCACCGAGAGCTTCAGGACTCTCCTTTACCCGTCTGCCGGGCCAGAGAAAACCTGCTCAGTGCCTTCCTGGCACTACAAGCAGGTAAAGACAGCACAACTAGTTCTCACTTGGCTATAGATTAGGTGCCAGTGATCCTAGTGGTTTTGAATAGTCCTTGCTGAGATTTCCTTTTGGATTAGACCTTTGTGCAGACACTGTATCTCATCTCCAATGGGCCTCTTTGGACTATAACTACTCTTGTACAGTATCATAATTATCAAATGCAAAAGAAATCAGCAGGGAGTGGGAGCTGAGCTCCTGAGGAGCAGAGGTTCTCCCTTGAGGGGCTATAGTGCCAGGAAGGGATGGAGCAGGATCTCTATGATTGGACCAGATGCATAAAGGAGATTCCTGGAGACCTCGGTGGCTTTTTCAGGTTTTTATTGGGATTTTACATGTAGTGAGGCAACCAGGTACACAGCAGTCAGGGGCAACAGGGGGGCCAAGAGGCCAGCAGGCCTCCAAGCCCCCAGCAAGTCTTCACTCTGGGCTCTCAAGTGCTCTTTCTCCCCTTCTGTCTCCTGTTCTCTCTCTTGCCTCTGCTTCTCTTGGCTAACATATCAATACTGCAGCCATGGCCCACAAAAGTAAACAATACGACTGAAATTAACAATGTAACAAAATGCAGGTACCCATCATCAGGCAGGGCAATCCTAATGGTGGGAGGGCAGAAAAGCCTGAAAATTATTTACCTTACAGGGGCCCAGTTCCTGGAGGTGTGGTTGGCACTGGGACAGGTTCACTCTTAGTCACAGTTGTCTTATCTGCCAATACTTCAATATGACTGCGGGAACTTCAGGCCTTGGTTTAGATCCCTTTGTATCAAGAGTTCTCTTTTTAATAATACCTGAAGGAACTCATTAACATGGAATTTTATAAAGGCAATAAAGGCATAAGTTGAGAAAAACTAAGAAATACTTTAAGTATATATCACACAGGCAGTTGCTAGAGTGTGGTTTAGATTGCTAATCCGTAGCGATTATGTTTCTAATTTTTTCTTTTGTCTCGCATTAATTTCATAAATATTTAATGAGACCTATTACTGTGTTAAGTACTAAGGATCAATGAAGAATAACATAATATTTATGTTCAAAGGAACTCAGAGTAAGTCCTTATTTCTATATTCTCTGGGTCTTCATCTCCAGTTGCTGCTCCTCTATTCTGCTCCATCTTGGTCTGTGCAGAACCTTCCCAGCCTGCTTCTAAACCTACCTCTCCCGCTTCACCCACAGCTCCTCCTCCCTGTCCTGAGTCCTTCACAGTCCCACCAGCTAAACCACGTTCCATAACCGCGCTGTATACTTTTTGAGTCTGTGTTGACCCATTGTCAAAGTATATCCTTTCCTGTATCTGCTTTTCGGTTCTTGTCTTTCCTTCCCTTAACAGAGTTGACTACACTCTGGGCTTCCCTAGTACCTTTTCAAATCTCTGAGTGAGGGATTCTTAAGCATATGGAAGCTGGTTTGCTACATAAGTACCTGGATCTCTCTTCCAAAGATCTCCAATCTCTGAGACAGGCTCACCAGGTATATTTTGGAAAAACTATCCCAGGTAATTCCGATGTATAGCTCTATGTGAGAACCTAAGTTCCAGTGTTATGTTTGAAAGATACTGTATTCCTTATCTGTTCATCCTGTAAATACCCTTCTAATTATACCAGTTTGAGATTGTATTAATGTAAGTCAATAACTTAGTTATCTTTAACCTTGCACAGAATATACATAGGAACTGAAAACATTTGTGAATGGAATAGCTCTAGGGCAGAGGGGTAAATATATGCATCAAGTATTTCAACGGTAATTTGCTATTCTCCTAAAAAAAATTGGTAACTTATAAAAAAACAAGTTACAGATGCTGCTTACTAAAAATAGTAACAGATGACTTTCCAAAATATCTTAAGCAATGTCTGATTTTGAACCCTGGAGTTCCTCCTCCCCCCAATAACCTTGCCTTCTCCTTAGGCACTTTGAGGTCACCCTGAGAGCTACTGAGTACCTCGTTCTCTCCTCCTGAGTCATATAAATTAGAAGGCAACGTGCAGTGAAACCCTCTTCCCTGTGCTGGTCTAGACAGAGACCATTTTTTAAAAGTCAATGTGAAAATGCTCTTGGGTGCCAGTAGATGACCTCACATATTGCTTACTGTATAATTTACATTTGAAATTTTGAAAAGACCCATTGAAAAACTAATCTGGAACATAATTGAGTTTAGCATCAACAGTAATTTATGCTGTGTGGATATTTCTCATGAAATCCATTTTTTTTAAAACATCTTCGTCCTGAATCAAGTTGGTGCTTTATGATGTGCCTCTCAACTAACAAGAATTAGGAATGAACTCATTCTCAGTGAGATGGCTTGTGACACTTTTCTCTGTGACCTGGTAGTGTGTGTGCAACCTGATATTTAGTCGTTGCTCCATGGATATGTAATGATTATACATTTAGTGACTATTTCTTAGCAGGGTTATTTTAAGTAAAGGATAAGCTTCAAGTGTTTTCCAGGTGATGGGTATGAGATGGACTGCCCAATCTGGGGCTGCCAGTCTTAGCAGATAAAAATAAAGGATGTCCAGGTAAATATGAATAACACTTTATAGTAAATAAATAATGAATAATTATACTTACAATATGTGGTTACCCTAAAATCCTTATTTATCTCTCATTATTTATCTGAAAATCAAATTTAACTGGTGTCCTTTCTTTTCTCTCGGAACCCTAGCCCTACTTAACATACCTCCGCCTGCTCCCCACCCCAGCCCCAAGGAATGGGCAGGCCTACTGGAGAGGACAATGTCTTCTATGTACACCAAGCAGAACAAAAGGACACATGTAACTGTCACACAATATATTCATTAGAAACTGCTTGTAATAATTTCAGCATATACTTCTTGACTTGATAAAGCAGAAAATTATTTCTTGACTGAAATATCCACAAAAAGTACATTGGCCATACCTCTAAGTAAAAGAAGAGTGGGTTTTAGTGTGATAAAATGGATGCTATTGCCAGAAGCAAAATGGAATGAAAATATAATGCTTTTTAGAAATAACTTATAAAGAATAATTATTGCCTTCTATTTCTACCCTTCCCTTAGCTGAGAAGATTAAGCAAAGATCTCAGATGTCTCCAGAGTGGAAAACATTAATTCCGCAACCTGCAGACACCGAATTTCGACGGAACTACCAAATTCCAGCTAAAATTCCTGAGTTTCAGGATTTCGCTTTCAGATATGGATGCTATTCCAGCCTTCCAAATATTTCTCGGGGTATAGGTAAGTACGCCTGTAGTTTTTAAAACAACTTCATAGATTCTGCCCTCTTGCTATGAGATTTCCCGATGCTTTGGACCTTGGCAGGAGCCCTTGGAACTGTCATGGAGAAGGCAGTGGTCTTTGCACAGCAGCTAAACCATGGTGTCTACCCTCAAACACAAGGAACAGTAAGTCTCAGATGAGGCCTGATTGCTTGTGCCTTGAAATGAGTACATTCTCTGCATGTGTGTGGCCGTTGTCGGGATTAGGGAACACTCTCCCCCTTTAAAGTAAAAGGTTCAGCTGCTATAAAAGGCAGAAGAAGAGAATCGATGATAGTCAAAGAAGACTTGTCAATTATCCACTGAGATTTATGCATGTGACACAAGAATCTTCAGATCTGGCATCCACTCAATTAAAATGTTCTTTTATGATCCCGATTCCCCTTGTTTTTTAGACAGATGTTTTAAAAGTCCATGACCGGGGCCTCCCCTGTTGGCTCAGCAGTTGAGCGCTGGGCTGCGAAGCTGCCTCTGCAGTGCCAGTTCGATCCCTGGCCGCCGGGCGAGGGTCCCACTTGGCCCGCAGATCTCTCCTGTGTGCCTGCTGCTCCCCTCAGCAGTGTACTTTGTCAGTCTGTCTGTTCTGCTCCACGCTCTGGTGCTGGTGAATTCTCTCACCCTCCCGTGCTTCTGACTGTACCCAGTGCTTGTATAAATAAATAAATAATAAATAATAAATAAATAAATCTTTAAAAAAATTAAAAAATAAAAGTCCATGACTAAGCTATCTTTAGGATACTAGTTAAGAGGATAATTTGATGTCTTTGTGAAATCGTGATTTATTCCTGCACAGAGTTAGGATCAAGTATTACTTTAGACAAAAATCACAAATAGAAGCTTAGGATCTTGAGGTTAGAAGGTAACCTAGAAGTTACTTTGTCTAGGTCCTCATATCACATGTGAATCTTTCTATCAAATTCTTGCCAAGAGGTGATATCAGCCCTGTTTAAACTCCTACGGGAGTACCTGTCCCCCAACGCAGCTCCTTACTTCTTAGATACTGTTGGAAAATCCTTAATAACTGGAATCTTCGTCACTAAATCTCTAGCCACTGATTCTACTTCTCCCTACAAAATAAACTAAAATAAATCCATTATTCAAGGAAAACCATATTACATGCCTTCTAAGTCTTCTCCACTTAGCATTTCCAGACACTACCAGTACACTTCTCAGGACACACCCTCAAGTCTCCAAGTCTCCTCATCCACCTGGCCCCTCCATCTAGCCAGTGGTTCCTTTACAGGGGACATCTGTAACTGAAAGCGGTACTTAAGTGTCCTTAAAGTTTATAAAGATTGGGTAAGGAATAGAAATTATGCTCTCACATCTTGTCTTCATTATTTTTTTCATGATAATTCCATGACAGTTAAACAAAAATTTAGAAATAAATATAAGTAATTTTTGGCTTTGCATTCACCTCATACTTCTACTAGTCTGAACAATAAGTGCTGACCATAGATATCATTCTTCCAAAGTGCTCATCCTAATACACTTGGTCCCTTAGTATGTCAGTCCACATCTGTACAGGAGATGGCAGGAAAAGGAAAGAAACATCAATGAAGGTGTTCATTAAGCAGGTGGTGAATATTGACATCCTAACTGGTCTGCAGAGGGGTCCCTTTCAGGGAGTACTTCTTTTCAGAAACCTGTGATCAAATGCAACCTCTGGCTGTCCTCTCCAATCATTCCCACTTCTGACAGCAGCAGCTTGGGAGTCCCAGCTGCTCTGCACTGTCTTAGTCATGGGCTCCAGCACTTCATGCAGCACCTCAGCGGCCAGTATCAGCAAGGATGTTGATGGAGCTGCAAGTTGAACTCTGCGCTGTCCTGGAATGTGCACCAAATAAGGATTGGAATTCCTTGCTCAGTGACAGCCGCCCCTTCCTTATTTTGTGTTTCCCTAGTACCTTCTGTGCTCCACAGCCACATGAGGAATCAAGAGCTCACAAAGACACAAACTATATACCAAAGTGATTATGGGAAAGACTACCTGGATTTCTTAACACTTTTGAAAGCATTCCCTCCCTCTCAAGTCCAAGAGTACCTTCACAGTGTTTCCTGCAAAGGTAAGATGAGGTCTTCAGTTACTGTTTAATGTATCTGCAGGTCATTATCCATTGCTGTATACCACACAAAGATTGTTCCAACTTCCAGGCATTGCAATTAAATGTTCGCACACACAAAACACTGCCTCAAAAAAATCCCATAGTTTTGTGTAAAACTCGACCATCATTGAAAATATATTTTTCTTAAAGGAGGCCCCAATGACTTTATCTCCACTTAAAAAAGGAAATTCATCGTTTTTCATTCCTTTCTGATCTTGCATTGCCTGGAGTTGAATTGCTCCAGGAGGACTCTCTTTTTCTTACAGTTAATTGATTTCTCCAGCGGGTGTTTGTCCTTTTGCATAGTTTTGTTTTATTTTGTTTAATCTTTATTTCCTGTTTAGTACTTTTTTGTGACAGGCTTTTTAGAATACATGAGAGTCTTGTATCACATTCTCAAAGAGAGCAAATGTCAGTCACAAAACAAAGACTCATCCCAGTTCAGGGTCTAGTGGTGAGAGTCTGTTGGGAGAGTTTTGGGGATAAATGCTGAGCCTCACTGCATGTGAGTAAAAAGCCAACTCAGAGAATGAGTTGGAAACGAAACTCTTCCAGCAACTGCCCCTCAGCACCTGATGCTAGGGAGCTACCGACCATGCACCTGATCACTCCTCATTTTGAAGCATGTGCCCACCAAATGTAGATGGATATTTTATATAGAGAGAATTCCCATACCACTAAACTAATGTATTGTGTGCATTTAAAAACAAAGAAAATGTTAAAGTTTGAGGGAGTATAAAGCAAATCTAAATAGAGTTTGCAGTATTTCTTCCTGCACACAGTAGACCATATTTTGTACCCCACTTAGTGCTCTAGGCTACGGGGAGTTACTGATGTGCATTGTTCCCCAGGGTCAGACTTAAATTCAGGACTTCTTTCAGCTACTCAATAATCCTCTAACTGTTCTCAGTCTCCTGCTGACCCCCTTGGGCCCCCAATTTCTGCCCTTCCCCTCCTCTCTAGTCATAATCAGAAATTGCTCCTCTGAAATTTTCGTTTTGGACCTTCTGCCCCACACAAGACTGAAACCCTACTGTAGGCAAGGCTGAAAGGGGGGTACCCTGTAGTGGAGGGGAAAAGGGGGAGTATTTTCCACCTTCAGAGACTGAGGACTGACAGCCCGAAGGCACTTAAAAGAGTTTGAATATCGTGTTTCAAGGAAATATAAGAAGCAGATGTTTCGCCTCACATTAAGCAGAGGCAGAAGTCTATATTTTCCACTGGGAGCTTCATTCCTCTCAGCAGATGCCTCTGGGCCAGTTTGACGTGTCAAAAGGAAACTGAGAGGCTCCTTGAGGTCTGCTGGTCAGATCTTCCCAGGAGGCAGAGCAGAAGCTGTGTGTTCCTTCCCAGTTTTGGTTCACATATATGAAATCATCATCTGCATTTTGTAAGGTGCTCTTTTAACCTTTAGGAGCCACATCTGTTTGACCCTAGAGGGTGAGTACTTCTGGGTTCCAGAAGCAGATGCTCCCGTCTGCCCAGGGACTCACACTGCAGATGGAGCTGTCACTTCTCTGTCTGTGTGGAAACGTGGTGGCTGCTGGGCACCTCTGCCTCTGTCTGTGTGTCATTTACATCCACTCCTTAGCTGTGTCCCCTGAGGGTGAGCTGAAGACTCCTCAAAGCATTCTGGCAGCCTCTACTCAATTCAGATCTACTTTCTTCAAGATTCTCAAAGTAAACTGATCCTTCACATAAAAATTCTGTCCACTTGGGGCCACTCAGATGAGGAAACATAATTTGTCAGCTTACAATGGAACTTAGGACCAGTTTAGCCTTTTGTTTCTTCATAGCTCTGTTTTCCTGGGTCACATAGGACATCATTTAAGGCAGGGACCTGAATGCCCATACCGTGGTCTTGTCACTTAGTGCTGGCTGAGGTGTATGTGGGGCTTCCTACAGGTTCTAATTCTCGTTCCTAGCTTGGCTTTAGAATGGCCACCTCATCAACACCAGCTGTGCTGATGGATGACAAGCAAATAAGAGATTTCCTTTGAATTCTGGCAGCCCAAACCTACCTCTTGTCATTTGCCAGTATTTTTGATACCTGTATTTTTTAGTCAGAGGTGGTTTATGGTGGAACTGAGCAAGTATACAAGAGGATAAGAAAACTGGGAGAATGACAGTACAAAACACAACAAAGTAAAAACAGACAATTATAAATAGGAGACATACTGCAGGGGAGGAGGAGGGAGAGGGATCAGAGGGAGGGAGGGAGGAGCCCAGGACACTGAGGTGATGATGCACGGGTGCCTTGGTGAAGGAAACTCTATGGGGACTACACCTGAGAGGGTGGGGGGAAGCAAATATTGTTTAAAAATGAACAATGATGTAAAAAAAATTTTAAAAATTAATATAAAAAAGTAAAGAAACCCAAAATATTGACATGAGGAAATCAATCTACCATTTTACAGTGAATACATTATTTGTGTAATAAGAAAAATAAATGTTATCAATAAAGAAGGGAATCTACCAAAAAAAAGAAAGAAAGAAAACTGGGAGATATTCGAGGCTGAATTGCTGTCATCTCAGATCAAGTAACTTTACTGGATTACCTCTCTAGAAAGTATAGCACCCAGAACAGGTACAGTTTGGAAGAGAGAGGGCCAGGGTCAGAATAATGGCCTAAGTCAGGATCTGGGAACATGGCAGGATGAGGTGGGATAGAGAAAAAAGCAGGTAGACAAAAAAATAGAGCCGAGGCCTCCCCTGGTGGCGCAATGGTTGAGCACTGGGCTGCGAAGCTGCCCGCAGCCTCTGTAGCACCGGTTCCATCCCTGGCCGCCTGGCGAGGGTCCCACTTGGCAAGCAGACCTCTCCTGCCGCCCGCTGCTCCCCTCAGCAGTGTATTTAGTCGGTCTGCCTGTTCTGTTCCCTGCTCTGGCTCTGGTGAATCCTCTCACCTTCCCGTGCTTCTGACTGTACCCAGTGCTTGTATAAATAAATAAATCTTAAAAAAAAAAAAAAATAGAGCCGGGGAAGAAGAAAGGAAAAGCAGCTGAGATGAGCCTTTTATTTTCATTCATTGGGTGTCACTATTGAGTTTCTGTTTATAACTTAAGGAAATCAAACTAGATGTCTTCAGTGGCCATTGTAGTTTCAAAATTGTTTTAATCTCTGGGTGTGATTCAGGCCACCCAAAAGTTTACCCTTTGGGCTTCTGCTCTCTGTTGGTACAGATAGTCTTTTTTTTTTTTAATAGAGGAATGTTTTATTTATTTGTTTGTTTGTTTGTTTTTGTTTATACAAGCACTGGGTACAGTCAGATGCAGGGGAGGGTGAGAGAATTCACCAGAGCCAGATCGGGGAGCAGAGCAGGCAGAAGGACCGAAGTACACTGCTGAGGGAAGCAGCGGGCAGCAGGAGAGGTCTGCGCGCCATGTGGGACTCTCCTCTGGTGGCCAGGGAGCAGCCGGGGATCGAACTGGCGCCTCAGAGGCCGCGGGTGGCTTCGCAACCCAGCGCTCAACCGCTGTGCCACCGGGGAGGCCCGGTACAGATAGTCTTATCTCTGCTACTTATCTCCTCCCCTAGAGGGATATTATTATACAAAATCTGTTTTTTTGTGAATTTTTCAACTTTGTCTTCCCATTTCTTTTTCCAGTTAAAGCTGCCATGGATATAGCTATCAAAGGGGTGTTTCTTTATAGGGGATGATTCAGGATTGTTAAGAATGCATTTATTCCCTCTCTCAGTGAGTTTCATTGACTGAATACCTAAAGTGCTATCTTGATACAAAGATAAATAAAAACCAAATCTGTCTCAGGAATGTATTGTCAGATATGGGAGACAGAGTGTAGTTAGAGTATCATAAACTCTGTAATGGAAATAGTATTTGAGCATATTAGAAACCTGTAAGTGGTCTACCTGTGCGTTGATAGGAACCCAAGAGACCCCCCCTTAAAAGTCAAGGATGAATGAGCATGACAAGGAGAGGCAGGAAAACTCCTATGCAGAAGGTACAACTTAAACAAAATCCCAGTGAATCTGCCTTTGCAGAATACAGGTAGCATTTGAATGACAACAATAGCCTTTTTGAATGGGTGTTTAAATTGAAAAATTTGACACTCATCTGTTTTATTAAATCATGCCCAACTGTTATATTTAATTTATTTTATTATTAGAAGGAAATTTTTGCTTACTTAAAATTAACTTTTTGGGATAAGGTTTAAAAATTGGAACATTTTTTGCTCATAATGAAAAGGATTGACGATACCAAATGTTGACAATATGGAGCAATACGTTGCTATAGGAGTATCAGGTAGTAAGATCACTTTGGAAACAGACCTAGCAGTATCTGATAAAGTTAAATGTATACCTACTCCATGACCTAGAAATTCCAGTTCTGGGTATTGACCCAAGAGGAAAAAAAAACCCATAAATTCACAAAATTACTTGTACACAAATATTTATAACTATTTTATGCTTAATTGTTGCAAACTGGACATAACCCAAATCTCCATCAACAAGCAAACTGCATGGTATAGTCACATCATAAAATACTACTAGTCAATCAAAAAGAACAAATTACTGATGTAGTGTACAAAATGTATGAGCCTCAAAAACATGCTGAGTGAAAGAAGTGAAACATAAAAGAATGCATTTTTATGCCTTCATTTACTTAAATATCTACAAGAGACAAAAGTTATCTATAATGAAAGAAATCTAAACAGTGGCTATCTTAAAGTAGACATTATTGACTGGGAAGGGGTGTAATGGGTCTTTCTGAGGTGATGGAAATGATCTATATCATCATAAGGGTGTGGGCTACACGTACAGGTCAACCTATTGAACTGTGCATGGAATATTAGTGTATTTCACTTTATGATAAATATACCTTAATTTTCAAATGTTGTAGAAATGATTCAAAATTAAATGTGAGAGAGGGCTCCTCTGGTGGCACAGACGGTTGAGCACCGCACTGTGAAGCTGTCTGCAGCCTCTGCAGTGCCGGTTCGATCCCAGCTGGAGAGAATCCCACATGGTGCGGCAGACCTCTCCTGTGTCGCCTGCTGCTCCCCTCAGCAGTGTGTTTCAGTCAGTCCACCTGTTCTGTTTCTCTCACCCTCCTGCGCATCTGGCCTGTATCCTGGTTCTTGTATGCATGAATGAATAAATCTTAAAAAAAATTAATTGTGAGATCATATAAACAAATACATGCAAATAGAGGCTGCATATTTGGAGAGTAAAACAAGAACACACACACACACGCGCACACACACCCCTGATCTATAGACCTCAGCTGGCATTTGTAACATTGAACATTACAGTATGGACATTGAACATGATATGTCATCACTTGCATTCTTTGTCTCTCTTGGTTTTGGCTGCAAGCATGACAATTGCTAGGGGTGAGCAAAGTTTTACAGCTCTACTTTGTACTGTTAAAAAAGTCCCTGCTGGCACAAGGGGTTAAGTCTCAGCACCATGAAGCTATCAGCAGTCACTGCGGCTTCAGTTTGATCCCCAGCCAGGAAGCTAACCCACAGGGCACAGCAGACCTCTCCTGTCTCGCCCACTGCTCCCCTCGTTAGTGTATTTCACTAAATCTGCCTGTTCATTCTGTCTCTGGTGAATCTTCTCACCTCCCCCACCTCTGGCCTAAACCCCAGCTCTTGTATGCATAAATAAATAAATCTTTTAAAAAAAAAAGTCACGTATTTGAGGTTAGAGAATGGAAGATGTTCAGAACCAGACAAGACTCCTCCATTTCACAGATGAGGAAATGGAGACCAGGCTACAGTCCCCTATTAATCAGTTATCACTCAGAGTTTGCAAGCCATACCAATGGTGGTGAGCAGAAAAACAGCCCCAGCTTCAGTGAAAAGTAGGGAATAGTCTCTATTGTTCTTTTATCATCAGTGCTTCTTGCTATGGACTCAGTAATAAAAGGATAAGGCGGTACTATTGATTGTGATTATCTCTTATGAACAAGGTAGTGTCTAGGTACAGTGCTCACAGTGTTCCTAATCCATTCCAACAACCAAGAAAGGTAACTATTATTACCTTTGTTCAAAGATGAAGAACTGAAGAGATGGAGAGGTTAAATAATTTGCAAATATGTGACAGCACAGAATTGAAACCTAAGTCTGTTTCATTCCAAAATCCATGTTCTTTCCAGTAAGTTTTGCTCATCCTTGAAGTTAAGATAGCTCTTTAATCAATAATCACCCAGTTGTGACTTTTTTAGCTATTAGACATAGTATTCTCTGGTTATTTTGGTCTCACCAAGTTTTGAATACAGAGAACTATTATAAGATCTGTGCCTATTTCCTAGAATTTTTCTGTTAGCATTTAAATAGTTAAATAGAGGTTTACATTCTGTTTTTCTTCATAATTTTCAGACAGACAAATTCTTGATCGTTTTATTCGCTCTCACATTGACATTGACGGAGAGACAAGATGAAAAAAAGAAAATGAAGAAAAGATATAACTCACTGGAAGTGTTAGGCCTTGCTGAGCCATTTTCTCAATAATCAAGGAAAAATAAGATGGCAATTGTTCCAAATATGTTTTGATATTCATGAGTTTGTGCAATTTTATTTTATTTTTAAACACTAAAATTGTATGTCTATAAATTCTTCCCTTCCCCACACCCCAACACAGCTATATAGCTTTACAGTAGGTTTTGCTATAAGGTCTTTAACTATTCTCTTTTGGATACTTAATTTGTGGTTTCAATTTTTATTTCCTCTTGGAACCAGGAATATTGTGGAAGAGGTTTCTTAATTTTCCAATAATTTGAGAAGTTTAAAAACTTTTATTGTTGACTTTTTGTTTAAAAGTAAAAAAAGGTCTCTGCACTGGGAAATTTAACAGTTTTCTTTAAGGCCAACTATATGATTAATTTGTGCATTCCATGAATAAAAGTGAAAAATGTTAACCAGTTTATTACATTTTTCAACTCCTTTATCTTCACCTCCTCTTTGCCTTCATTGTATATGAGCTGTCAAGTTCTGAAATAATATTAAAACATCCCCAAATAAAAATAATTTCATCAATGTCTCCTTGCATTTCTGGGCAAAATATATGTGTGTGTGTGTGTGTGTGTGTGTGTGTGTGTGTGTATGGCTGCTATCTTGTTTACCTATTAATGTTTATGGTTCATACAGAGCTCTTTATTGATAACTTTTCCCCTAATTACATTTTATTCCTCTTAGACCTCATTTATTAATGCTTTTGATCTTTAACTATATTTTAATTGATATTAATATTGCTATTAAATTCAGTTTCTTTTTCCCGTTGCATTTACTTAGTATGTCTTTTTAATTGATATTAATATTGCTATTAAATTCAGTTTCTTTTTCCCGTTGCATTTACTTAGTATGTCTTTGCCGTCCCTTAAATGACAATTTTTCTTTGTAATTGTAATTCCTTTTGGGGCCTCTTGGATCAAGGAAAATGAGCCTTAAGGGAAAGCTGGTCAATTTTTGGTTTCGTGGATAAACAATAAAGGGGTGGTAGTGACAGAGTTCAGATAAGTGTTCCATGCTTCCCCTGGTCTCCTTCAAGTAGGGGATGGCAACTCTCTCTCAACTGCACAGTCTAGGAAAAGTATATCCCGCTATTGCAAACCCCTCCAGGTGTTGTGTATGTTATATAGCTAACATGCCTGGGCAGTTCCTCTTAAGAACCATAAGCAACAAGTAAACCAGGTGTGACTCCTTTTGGAAGGAATTTTCCCACATCTGCCCACCTGGGGCCATCAAAGAGTCTGAAGTCTGAGGTCTTGACTATGAACTCCAGCAGAGAGAGACTTTCCCTATAGCCCTGCACCTCCTGCTTTATCCTGGCACCAGGTTTCAGGTGAATGAGGTCTTGTATCTACTCCAAATCTCTGAAGAATATGTGGCTTCACATATATCCCAGCACCCTCTCAATAATGCTCAGTTTGGTTGACTGTAAGGGGACCGGGAAGCTACACATTTTTCAGAGATTTGTAGTAAGTCTTCTTTGCCACATTCACTGCCCTTTCTTCTTTTGAGGAAGTCCTTGTGGGGAGAGGAGGCACCTCTTCTCTTCCCCCTGCCCTGAAGGACAACTGCCAGTAAGACTCGCTTGGAAAGGCAGCCTGAGCACTAGATTTTCTTTGCATCTCTTTTGGGACCTGTCCTACATTCTGCTTCCATTTTGTACCTTAACAGTAATATCCCACCTGTGCTTCTTCCAGATGGGGGTAATTTTCTACCAGTTAGCTGGTGTGTGTCCTCCATTTGTAGTTTTTGGCCAGTGTTCGAGCATCAGGCTGCTGTCTGTGTCTTTCTTGGAGTGCTAAGGCAGAGTGCTGTGTAGCCAGTAATTTCACATGCACTCTCGTTTCAGTGTGCGAGATTGGTATTTCCTGACTACCCCCACAATGATCATGCCAAAGAATGGAACGATCTATTCAGGATCTAGAACCAAGTATTAAAAAATAAGAGGCCCCTTCATTCAATATTTGTCAAACACCCACTATCTTTAAAACAGTGTTTTACGTAATGGGAATACACACAAAGTGAAAACACACCAGCAGATACGGTATCTGGTAGGCTGTAGGGTAAGGTAAAAAGTGTCCGGCTTTTCTGCCCTCCCGCCATGAGGATAGAAGAGGGAACCCTGCGGTCCTGAGTGCATGCCTGATGGCGGGCACCTGGAGTGGGTGCACCTGGGCTGAGAGACTGAGTTTATAAGGGTGGCATCACGGGGATGCCAGCAGAAGCCAAGAACGAATGGAAGCCGAGAGAAAAAGAGAAGCAGAGAGAACGCCAGAGAGCCCAGATAGAGTGAGGATTTGCTGGGGGCTGGGAGGCCTGCCAGCCTCCAGGCCCCCCAGCACCCCTGCCTGCCTGCCTTATGCCTGGTAAATCTAAATAAAAGACCTGCAAAAGTCACTGAGGGCTCTGACTCCTCCCCTTACCCCGTCTGCATAGAATCATAAAAAACCTGTTCTGTGTCATTCCTGCCTCTACATAGGCCATCCTGTAGAGAGGAATAGAGTTTCTCTGTGTCCTCACATGTCCTTACATTCTAGAAGGAGTGACAGATCATAAATGAACATTTTAATCGCAAAGTATAAGTGTTACACTCAATATACACGGTGCCGTGCTGGAGAATAGTGGCAGACTCCTCCGAGGAAGGATTTGAGTCAGTCCTTCAAGAGAAGGAACCAGTCATGTGAGGAGATGAGGCAATAGCAGTCCAGGCTTGGGAAATAATGAGACAAGTACATTAAGGTAGGAAATATCTCAAGTGTTCAAGAAACAGCAGGAGACGGAGTGGTAGATGCTGCACCGCCCCCCGCAGTGACCTTCGAAGAGTCAGCTAGAGATGGAGTAGAAGAACTACCATACAAACAAGGAGGCAGGGATCACATCACACGTGGTCTGATTTCCACTGATTTCTGATAACATGGACTCTCTTCATTTAGTTTCTGTATCTCAGAATATTCAATAATTTTCTGTTGAATCAAGTTGTGGCTCACTCATAAACATGGTTTGGTGTTATGCTAATCCTTTTCCTCAAACTGTGGTAGCAACGCTTTGTCCAGAACTAATGTTTTTAGTCACTGCAGACATATGTGGATACATCTTCAGCTTTCCAAGTACCACCAAAGGAGAGGTTCCCTACCCTGGGAGTCCCAAAGGGGATCTCCAATATCCTACATAACAAGTTTTAATTTCTATACATTGCATTTCATTCTTTGTGCTGTAAAATTCTACGGGGTTCAACAAAAACATAGTGTCCTATCCACCATTGCCAGCCACATCATACGATAGTTTCACCAAAAAAATCATCCTGTGCTTCATTTATTCAACAATCTCCTCCCATCCCAAACCCATCATAAGTTCTTTAGAGACAGTGTTGGTATTCAAAGAAAAGGACAGTCAAGAAAAGCCACCATAACCTCCATTGCCTGTGACAAAAGGGATCCTCTGTACAGAAGTTGATTACTTGTCTGTGACTTCCATTTAGGGCCAGAAATTCTATGTGTAAATACAGTGTTAGGACACACTCTTTGGCTGAATGATTGTTCCTGATTCTTCATCTCTCCCAGTATCCACATCCTTGGTGTTGTAACTTTGCAGTCCCTCCTACTAAAGATGGATTGTATTTTCCCAACATTTGTGAGCTTGGCAGTGTGATTTTCTTTAGCCAACGGACTGTTAGAAGACAGAAACCTAGACTGTCCCAGGGTTTAGAGGACGGACATGTGGAGGAGAGCACTGTTACAGCCTGAACATTTGTGTTCCCCCCCAAATGTCTAATCTCTGAAGTGATGGCATTGGAGATGGGGGGTAACTAGTCATGAGGGTGGAGCCCTTTTAAAAGTCTCCACAGAACTCCCTTATCCCTTTTATTATGTGAAGATATAGAAAAACCACAATCATCAAAGTGAAGAGCCCCATTCAACACCAAATCTGCTGGGATCATGGAAATGGAATTTACATCCTCCAGAACTGTGAGAAATAAATGTTTGCTGTTTATAAATGACCCAATTATGGTATTTTGTTATAGAAGCCCAGATGAACTACCCTAGTAGACCTGCCAAGTGACCCACAGACTGTGAGTGAGAGACACTTTCTGTTGCAAGCCACTGAGGTTAACGCAGCAATAGCTAACTGATACACACGTAGGATTTATTTAGAAGACACATCTCTGGAAAGACTTGGTTCAAATCAGTTCTCCCTCTTAAAAATATTCTCTGAGCATGATGAAAAAATGTGTAGTGTTTCAAAAGTGATTGTGTTTTAACATAGAGGAGTATGGTTGTTGTTCTTTTATATTTTAAAATCTGCCAAATGGTGAAGGTATTTAAAACATTGAACACTTCAAAGATTCTCATGAGCCCAGTGGCCACTGCTTATTTTAATATGCCAAAGGGTATAAATTATTGCTTTAATATGGTTCCTTCCCAGAGCAGATTGTCAAGATCAGATCAGTCAACACACTCGACATGAGTTAATTATGTAGCACTAGTACCTCTTATTATATTTCAAAGAGAGGAGTGTTTCAACATAGATAATGATTCTGAAATTTTTTTCTTTTTTGGTCTCCAGTGATGGCTCTTTGATTCCCTTTCTAGCCTCCTGCGAAACTTAATTCCACACATACACTCAATCAAAAAAGTACATACAGCATGTTCTGTTGCTTTCGAGAAACATCTGTTCTTTGCTTTTAACCCCTTGAGGAAACTGTTACATAAATGTTTAAACTTGTTCTATTTTTGCTTTCAAAATAGTAGAAAGATTATATCACTTGAAACTGATGACAACAATTTGTAAAATATATGTAAGGAAGATGCATGAAAAGCGGAAAATTTTCACAAGACTGGATTATCAGTCTTTGAGGCCAGCTCCACCTCCCCGCAGGAAATGTTTCATTCCCCATTTTCCTACCATTGAAATGAGCTGGACTTCTGACACTGGGAATTTATTGCTTTCTAGCTAATACAGAAAGAAAGTTCAGTGGGCATGCTGAGAGTTACTGTAAAGGCAGGACTGGACACAGTGTAGGTTTCCTGATCCAGCAGACCGGGTAAAGGAGGAGTCAGAGTCCTCAGTGGTTTTTTGCAGGTCTTTTATTGGGGTTCACCAGGCATATGGCAGGCAGGGGTGCTGGGGGGCCGGGAGGCTGGCAGGCCTCCCAGCCCCCAGCAAATCCTCACTCTATCTGGGCTCTCTGGTGTTCTCTGCTTCTGCTTCGGGCTGCTTCTCTTTCGGCTTCTCCTGGCGTCCCCATGACACCACCCTTAAAAAAAGCACAGTCTTAGCACAGGTGTACCCACTTCAGGTGCCCGCCATCAGGCATGCATTCAGGACCACAGGGTTCCCTCATCTATCCTGATGGCGGGAGGGCAGAAAAGCATTATTTTACCTTACCCTACAGTTACAATAGAGCAATGTGTAGGGTGTTTTGGGATTTCTAAGAGGCTTTACCTCACCATTGTGAAGAGGCAGACAAGATTGCTAGAACAATGTAGAAACCAGATCTTTATTGGAGAAAACCGTGCTATAATTA